GCAGCCTAACCCGGAAACCCTCGACTTGTCAAAATTGACACCTCTTTCGCCTGAGATCATTGCTCGGCAAGCTACTCAGAACATCGGTATGTGATTGTTGGTTTGTGAATGCGTCTTTGAAAGCGCGTTCAGAAACGCACCTATTTTACTAGATAACAAATTTACTGACATGATTACCAGGCACGATCGGACATGTCGCACAGTTAGACACCTTCTCTCGCCTTTTTCTTCCTACACACATACTAATATAATTTCAGCGGCAAATCCACCGTCGTCAAGGCTATTTCTGAGGTTCAAACCGTCCGCTTCAAGAACGAGCTTGAGCGCAATATTACCATTAAGCTTGGTTACGCCAACGCGAAGATCTACAAGTGTGACAGCCCCGAGTGCCCTCGCCCTACATGTTACAAGAGTTTCAAGAGTGAGAAGGAAGTCGACCCGCCATGTGAGCGCGAGGGATGTACAGGTCGTTATCAGTTGCTGGTATGTACTTCTGCCTCCCCTCTGAAGTCTAAACTCAGAGCCTTTCCTCAAGTGGCCCTAATCTAATTTTATGATATAGCGTCATGTCAGGTATCGCGAATCCCTAGTCTACCTCCAACCCGAAGGTCCCTCCTTTTATCTGGTATACGCTAACCTTTGATCCAAAAAAAATAGTTTCGTTGATTGCCCTGGTATGTTCGCTAAATATGTCTATGTCCAAATTAAAACCCCGCTAATCTTCAATCATAGGTCACGATATTCTGGTTAGTATCTACTCCCTTGCGCATCTTGCGCACCTTAGGGAATCTAGCTTCTCTTAAGGGTTGATGCTAATCAGCTTTGCACAGATGAGCACTATGCTTTCAGGAGCCGCGGTCATGGTAGGTTTCATCCCTCACTGCACCAATTCGGACCTCAAGGGATCGGTGATAGGCTAACATCATTTTATTAGGATGCCGCCCTCCTCTTGATTGCCGGAAACGAAACTTGCCCGCAACCGCAGACCTCGGAGCACTTGGCTGCCATTGAGATTATGAAGCTCAACCACATCATCATTCTCCAAAATAAGGGTAAAATCTTGGTTGTTGTAAACGGTCGATGAAACGAAGCACTGACGTATGAAAATAAACAGTTGACCTCATGCGAAGCGATAACGCTCTTGAGCACTACCAGTCGATTCTCAAGTTCATCCGTGGTACCGTTGCTGATGGCTCGCCCGTTATCCCCATTTCCGCGCAGCTGAAGTACAACATTGATGCTGTCAACGAGGCACTTGTCCAGACGATTCCTATCCCCATCCGCAACTTCCAGGATACGCCTCACATGATGATCATTCGTTCCTTCGATGTCAACAAGCCCGGTGCCGAGATTGATGAGCTCAAGGGTGGTGTTGCCGGTGGTTCCATCCTTACCGGTGTTGTAAAGCTGAACGATGAGATTGAGATCCGCCCCGGTCTCGTCACCAAGGATGAGCAGGGCAAGATCCAGTGTCGACCCATTTTCTCCCGCATTGTGTCTCTCTTCGCTGAGCACAATGACCTCAAGTTTGCCGTTCCTGGCGGTTTGATTGGTGTTGGTACCCGTGTCGACCCCACGCTTTGCCGTGCAGATCGTCTTGTCGGTTTCGTTCTCGGTCACCGTGGCCGCCTTCCTGCTATCTACACTGAGATTGAGGTCAACTACTTCCTGCTCCGCCGCTTGCTGGGTGTCAAGACCGCCGACGGCAAGCAGGCCAAGGTTGCCAAGCTTGCCAAGAACGAAGTCCTGATGGTTAACATCGGTTCTACCGCTACTGGTGCTAAGGTCCTCGGTGTCAAGGCTGATGCCGCTAAGCTCAGCTTGACCAGTCCCGCCTGCACGGAAGTTGGCGAGAAGATCGCCATCAGTCGCAGAATTGAGAAGCACTGGCGTTTGATCGGATGGGCCAACATTGTTGCGTAAGTCTACTGGTTTGGGGTTATTTCTAGTGACAAATGCTGACTTTTTCAATTCGCAGTGGTAACACCCTTGAGCCTGTGCAGCAGTAAAGCAGTCCTTTGAACGATTTCCCAGTTCGGAATGGGGAGTTTGGGGAATGAGATCTGTTGTGTTGGGGAATTTGATTTGCACATAAATCTTGCTATATCTCCGCATAACGATCCCACCCCACCAACCCTCGAACACGAGTCTTGCGATCTATGATTGCAAAAAAGTTTATGGTCATGACGAGTCGGAAAATTAAAGACGTGATTTAACTGATTCCCCCGGCTGAATAGAGAAGATGGAGGAGATGCGCAATGCATGTATTGTCGCCACCTTGATCGGTTTACCTTCATGCATGTCAGCGACCACTTGATTTGGTCCGCGACTGGATGCTCGGGTTTGATCTGAGGGACGGACGACGAACGGGATGCAGGTGGAGTCGGCGAATAAGATATGTGCTTTTTATTTCCATCGTACGAGGGAGTTGTTCCCAAGAGGTTCCTGTTCATTGCTCATTTTTTGTCTGCATTATCGGATCTTATGTAGATAGGCCTATACAGGTCTGTGATCTGAAATGCAGGGAAATTAGGGCCGGCATAATCAAAGAGCTTCTGTATGTTTAATCGATATAAACATTTGCAATGTGGTAGATGCTAGATAGTCTGCAGGTCGGATGTATATATTGCACGACCATAACCACTCGTATTGCCTCGCACGGGGATGATCAAACGCGCTAAGCCACCAACTGCTTTTATATATAGAGCGACTCGAGAAATACTACCCTTTTGAGTATAGATGACATCTACAATCTTCGAGTATTGTACTAAGACTTTCAGCAATGCATCAGCGCCAGTTATTTACTTTTCAAATGCTGGCAGACTAGCATATAATTAACTCCCACTAACTCCTCATCTCACACATTTGGCCTAAAATAAACAAGACTTTACTTAATTAATAGGCCCAATTCCTGAGATCGACGTTGCGTTAGGCCCCGGGCCATGGAAGGGTCATGCATGAGATCTGACTAAGGCTGCCGATAATAACAAACTAGCTTCTTCTGCCTTGAACAACGTCCTCTTTCTTCGCCTAGTTGCGCGATTTCGATCATGTATATCCTCGAGGTAAGTTGATTTGATTGATACTATCATGTTTATACGGTAAATATGCTTTCCACCGTGGACACGTCGCTAATAACTGTCCTCCAGCAATTGGCGCGTTTGCTCGATCGCCCGCTCTTCCCATGGAAGAACGTGCTTGTGGGATTTTCAGTGGGCCAGTTCGTCCTTGAGGGTTTCCTGTCACTTCGGCAGTACAAGTTTTTGCAACGGACAAAGCCTCCCCAGGTCCTCGAAGGGGAGGTTACCCAGAAGGTCTTTGACCAGAGTCAGGTATGAACCCGATGACGGGGAATTATATCATATACAGAGGCTTACTGAAACATCACTACAGGCATACGGTCGCGCAAAGGCCAAGTTCGGCTTCATCTCTGGTCTTTACGGTCAAGTCCAAAACCTTGCTTTCATCTACGGCGATGTCCTCCCCAAGATCTGGGGCCTCAGCGGTCTGGTGCTGGCTCGGTATCTCCCCGGTCGGTTCCAAGGCGAAATTTGTCAGACATTGGTATTCTTCTTCGGTTTCAACATTATAAGCACTATCCTCTCGCTGCCCATCTCGTACTACAACACGTTTGTGCTTGAGGAGAAGTTCGGTTTCAACAAGCAGACGGTCAAGCTCTGGATTACGGATATGCTCAAGGGGCAGATGCTCGGAATTGTTCTGGGTACTCCTATTATCACTGCCGTTCTTAAGATTGTTCAGAAGTTTGACACCTCCTTCTACTACTACCTCTGGCTCTTCGGTGTCTTCCTCCAGATCTTCGCCATTACTATCTACCCCATTGCGATTCTGCCTCTGTTCAACAAGCTCTCGCCTCTTCAGCCCGGCGAACTCAAGACCGGTGTCGAGAACTTGGCTAAGAGACTCAACTTCCCTCTCTCCGAGCTCCATGTCATTGACGGCAGCAAGCGCAGTGCCCACAGCAATGCCTACTTCTATGGTCTGCCATGGAAGAAGCACATTGTCATCTACGATACTTTGATTGAGAAGACCGAGCCGGAGGAGGTTGTTGCTGTGCTTGGCCATGAGCTTGGCCACTGGAGCCTCAGCCACACCACCAAGCTCTTCGGCATTGCCCAGGTACGAATTTGTTCAGTTGCTCTTTTGGCGAATTATCACTAACTATGTAATCCAGGCCCACATGTTCTACATTTTCGCTCTCTTCTCCGTCTTTGTCAACAACAAGTCGTTGTACCAGTCCTTCGGATTCATCAACGAACAGCCTATCATGATTGGTTTCCTGCTCTTCTCCGACGCCCTGGCTCCTATGGATGCTGTCGTGAAGCTTCTCATGAACATCCTCAGCCGAAAATTCGAATTTGAGGCCGGTATGTTCCATTCGATCCATCACATTTACACTCGGTTTTACACTCGGTTTTACTAACAATGTTCCACAGATAAATTCGCCCAGAACCTCGGTTACTCTGACAAGCTCGCTTCCTCGCTACTGAAGCTCCAGATCCAGAACTTGAGCACTATGGATGCCGATCCGATTTATGCTAGCTACCACTACTCCCACCCCATCCTCACCGAGCGTCTCGCTGCGCTTGGCTGGAAGGGTGGCAAGGTCACTAGCAACAAGGAGGAGGACAGTGAAAAGCCTGTCAAGGCCGCAGATCGCGAGCTGTAAACGTGGTGCGTGTTATACTGGCGATTTTTATATGATATGGACACGACTTTTTTGTGTCGACATGGTGGAACTCAACTCTCGAGAAGTAAAAGCGAGGCTTGGAAATGTTCTATTATGTATTGATTGGATTGTAGCAATCCGTCTAAACTCTTAAATGACACTTTTTGTTCCAGACATGAAATGCGAGCAGTGCTTTTGTACGTCCAAAACCCAACCAGCCCAGAGTAATAGAGCAATAGAACGAATAAAAGAAAAAAGACTCCGACCCAATGCAGCAACGCCCACAAGCAGATATATACCCACACCACACTCAATCGGATTCCTCAGCCTTCGCCTTGGCCTTACCCTTCTTCTCCGCCAACCGTCTCTCCTTCTTCTTCCGCTTGCGTTCCTCCTTATCAATCCCGGCCTCCTGATCCGCGAAAGCCTCAGCTTCCATGCCAAACTCAGCATCATTCATGACAAGATCATTGCTTTCGTCCGGCAGATCATGGCCGTTGGTCTGCGGAATACCCGCAGCAACATCCAAATAGTCCTCCCCGGGGTTCTGCTTCGCGACAGTCAGATCACGACCAAGGAACTCGCCAGCTAGGCCCATTTGAACGCGCTTCAAGTTGTGCAGGATCAAGTTCGGCGCTGCGGTGGTTGTCCGTGAGACAGGACCATGCTCGCTGATGCTGGCGTTGGGTTGCAACGATGGGTCTGTCGCAGCGCGGTCCAGATAGGCGGCTAGGAATTCATGCGCTGCGGACTGGCTGATGACATGTGTGTTTCGCACTGTGACTGGAGGCAGGGCCTGAGGACCTTGGGTTGCCATTTTGGTGGAATTGGTTATTCTTCGTAGGTTTGATGGGTTTTTTGAGGTTAAAGAGTGGTGGTGGCGGTGGTTATAGAGTGGTTTAACTCGGTAATAAGAGTGACAGAGCTGAGAGTAGAGTTCTCCTTGAGTTCAGTGTGATTTGCGAGTAGGACGGAGAGTTGCACGAGCGATGTCCAGCATTTCGAATCTCGAGATCAAAAAAGTTCGGTGACGCTAGTCCCGATCGGGTAGGTCTTCTTAACGGCTGCAAGTATACTGTTATATTTGTTCACAGCTAAACAAGCGTAGTTATAGTTATAGGGTTGTAGATATTACACTCTAAACCTACCCAATTCTATCCTTTGTATAACCTAAGTACAACCGTACATCATTGTAGCCATGCATATCTAGGCGGGTCCGTGTAAGCGGCTCCGCGCTTAATTTTCTGTCTTCCGACGCCGCGTCTTGTCCACAGGCCTCACTCGATCTCCAACTTCAGGAAGTTCCCACCCCACCTCAAAATCGCCCTCCAAACAAAGCCAGGGACCTGAAAATGTTCTGCCTCCGCACCAGGGCCGTGCCCTCAGCCTTCCAGGCCACCACATCGGCCATGCGGACCCCGATGACTAGGTACAGCAGCCAACAACCTTTCCACCACGAAACCAACCAGACAGCTAATACCTCTACTCCCCCGATAACAGATTCGCCCAAATCCCGCAACAATTAAGCACACCCTCCACAATGCTCTCATCCCGCTCCTTCTCCTCCCTCCTCTCCACGCCAACCCGCTTCCAACCCTCGCGAACAATCGGCGGCCGCCTCTCCTCGCCAACCACAACCGCAACCGCAACTGCTTTCTCACCCCTGTCATCACTCCTCTCCCAGAAGACACCCTCGCAGCGCCGCTCTTTCTCCGCAAGTGCCTCCCTAGGTGTGCGCCGTGTGACGTTCAGCCCGTCGCGACGGGTCCAAAAGCGCCGCCATGGATACCTGGCGCGCAAGAAGGACAGGAATGGACGTAAGACTCTTATTCGGAGGACTCTTAAGGGCCGGAAGGAGTTGAGTTGGTAGTTTTATTCGTTTCGGGTCTGACCTCTAAATCGTTCGGGGCTGTGGACGATGACGGGCATAGAGGCCGGGTTGGGCTGGGTTGACTGAAATCCGTACCTTCTCACGGCGATGGGAGTAAAGTAAGAGGTCAGTTCACCGATTTATCTATTCTTGGAACTATTGCAGTCTTCAAGATTGGATTCGGGTTCAGGCAAGACGGTTGCTGGCGGGTCTTGCCTGGCGTGTACCATATTTACCTCTTCTGAGGATGTGTGTGACTACATTTCATATAGTGCGATTATTTCAGCTTTGTTTGTTTAAGTTGAGATCTCGGTGTTTACTGAGTCGCAGCCTGTTTTCAGTGAGTAAGAGAGTAGATTCATCACTGTCGAGGTGATGTAGAGTCTTTTGACACCACAATTCCCTTTATGTGATCTACCTCGCTACCTATGTAGATATCGTTCATAAAACATATCACTCGTCTTCGCTTTCGTCGTCGCTATCCTCGGATCCGCTTTCGGAGTCCTCATCCTCGTCATCATCCTCATCTTCCTCCTCGTCACCAACCTTCAGACCATAGTCGTCCTCAAACTCCTTAAGAGCCTGAACTGTGGGAGTAAAGCCGGAACTTTCGAAGCCCTGATTGATGGTCTGTTCGCAATCAAAGTTAGTAATCCATACGTACATCGTAAAGACCGGGAACAACTCACCTCTTCCAACACAGTCGCGCAGGTGACAACCAAGTTTGCAGTCTTCGGATCAAACAATGGCAAGATGATCTCACGTAGAGCACCCTTGATCTGGTCGATGGTGATAGCGCGCACATTCTTGAGCATCTTCTCCTTATAGTCGCTGGGCAAGTTGCGCACGACCTGGCGGATGAAACTGCCCTGGGCAGCATTGGCGGCGGTCATCTGCTCGTTGGCATAGTTGACCACGATGCTGCTAATAGCACCCTCCAGCATCAAAGGATCGAAAGTCGTAGCACCGGATAGATAGTCATCAACAATCTTCTTGCTAGACTCGAACGCCTTGTGGGCGTTCGGGGACCGGTACACATCGAAGTTGACAAAGCCGGTGTCGATGTTGTAACTGAAATTAGTGCCGTACGCCAGACCAGTGCCACGAACTGCAACCCAGAGCGGACCCTCGACAGCGTTCATGTACGAAATCGCGACTAATAGTGCGGGCAGGTCGGGGGAATCGTACGAGGTCAGACCACGGGCGGTGGCGTAGGCGAAGGACGAGTCAATAGTCGGCATGGGGACAATGTAAGACTTGCCGCCAATGTTCTTGCCGGCATCGCTCAGCTGGGATCGCCGGTCAGTGATAGGCCGCAACTCAGCGCTGGTGCCCAGGGCATCGGCGAAGGGCTTCCAGGTCGAGACCGGGTTCTGGAGTTTCTCGAGGTCAGCAATGACAATGATGCGCACGTTGTCGGGTTGGAAGAGCGATTTCCGGATCTCCTCCATGCGGCTGACGACTTCCTCCGGCTTCTCAAAGAGCAGACGCTTGACGCGCTTAAGGTAGCGAGCCTTCACCAAAGTAGAACGAGCCCGGGTGATCGACTCCTCTGCGTAGTGAACCATCACATTTACAGCAGCAAGCATGGAGTCACCACTGCGCTTGGAGTCTGGCACATCGGCCAAGAGACGAGAGTTGATAGCCCGGAGTCTCTCCACATCGAAGACGGACTTCCAGCACAGCTCCTGCAGCCAGGCGACGGCATTCGCATACTTCTCCAGCTCGACCTGGAAGGAGATACGGAGCATCTCCGAGTTCCCAAGACCGCGAGCAGTCGTCATCGAGTATCCGACGGTGTCTCTCTCTAATTCTACTACGACTTGCTCAAAGTCAATGATCTTGCCATCACGCTCCACCGGGATGTTGAAGAACGCCTCGGTATAGATGGACAGCAATGGACGCAACTGAACGGGCACAGAATCAGCTGAGATGAGAACTGAAAGCTGGACAAAGCTACTAGGGATGTGCTCGAAGTGGATGAAAAGTGACTGGTCAGACTTGTCGGCATCAACAAATGGCTGTATCTTGTTGTCGGGCCGTCCAGATTTCAGGGCAGCACCCGAACGAGCCGTACTGGTCTCCATGAAGTGGATTGACTCAGTTCCGGGGATGGCGAACTTTTCCAGCAACTCCTGCGGAATCTCCTTGTCGTTCTCTGCTTTGGCTTTATCGAGTTTATCGGCAAGCTCCTTCAGGCCCTTCTCGCCGAGACGCTCCTTTTGCGCAGCGGCCCGGTCCTCCTCGTCTTTTTTAAGCGTGGCGGACATCTTCTGGGACGGGATACCCAAGATAGTGACATGGGGAGCATCTGAGATCCATTTCTTGATGAAAGCGCGCCACTGGTCCTCGGACCAGGTTTCAAGGACATCATATTCCTTCAGAGTTGCGACATCCATCAAGGTCGAGCCATCGCGCTTTCCGTACAGGAAATCAGAGATAACGTACTCTGCGAATGAAGAGGCAGAAGACTCAGTCGAGAACTTCCAGGTTCGGCGCTGTCGGGCGATACACTCTTTCAAGTACTTCAGATCTAATTCCTTGGTCATCGCATCTTGGAGGATCTCAAAGAATCTCTTCTCGACGCTCTCCAACTTCTCTGTTTCCACGCTGGTCAACGTGAAACGAACCTCCATGCTAGGGTGGTCCTCAGTTGAATAGTAGACGGCACTGGCGAGCTGTTCTTTCTCAACAAGGATGTTCTCTAGCAGAGCTGCAGATGAACCGGCTAGGTACAAAAGTGACACATTAAGAGCGCCGGCTATGATACTGTAAGTATTTGATATCGAATCTTGGGGTTTTGTATCTTACATAAGATAGTATCAGTGCAGTCCGGTCCCATGAATCGAATTTCGATTTCACCAAATGATTCATCCTCCTCTGGGAATTCAACTTTCTGGATAGCGGACTTCTCCAAGTAGGGAGCCTGTTTGGAATCCACCCAGGGTCTTTTGAATGGTGCCTCTGGGCTAGGAATGACATCCAAGATAGTGTCTTCGAACTTATCCAAGATCTCCAGCATGTTGCTCTGGTCGACTTCTCCAGTGAGGATCAGGCACAGGTTCTTGGGCTGATACATCTCACGGTGGAACTCGCGAATCCGTTCCGCAGGCAAGACACGAAGCTGTTCCATCATACCTCCTGTCTCATAGCGGAAGCCCACACCAGGCGGGTAGGTCAATCGCCGGGCTGCAAGATCGATCAGCTCAGCCGCATTGTTCTGTACACCCTGCATCTCGGAATACACGACACCGGCATCATTTCCAGAGCCATCGATGTGGTGAACTTCAGTGTAGCAGCCTTCGTCAGTCAGGGTAGGAGCAATGACATGCTCCAGGTACACTGGCAGGATACGAGCAAAGCCTTCCCAGCCTGCGGTATCCAGAGTGTAGGCAGTGTGATCGGTTGCCGTCCAGGCATTAGTGCTGGAGTACACGCGGGTAGCTAGCTTGTCCAGGAAGCCCTTGTAGCGGTAATTGCGGGAACCCATGAAGCACAAGTGCTCCAGAGTATGAGGAGCACCCGAATCATCGTGGATTTCGGTAGCGAGCACAAAGTAACCGTTCACTTTGGGACCCGGCTGGTCGATAACGACCACTCTCATGCCGGTACGCTGTGATTCATACTGAGTGAACTCGCTCGCCGAGTAGTCAGGCTTGAACTGCTGGAGCAGTTTGAAGTGACTGTTCTGCACCGAGGGCGACATATTGATCAATGGGACAGACCCAGTGAAGATATTTCGCCGTAGGGTTGACAGTCTTGTTGATTTGTTAGCAATTCGTGTCACTTTATTAAACATTTGATACAGTCGTGAGCACATAAGCACGTGCGGTAAGGAATTGTCTGAGAACAAGTATGACCACCACAACTCGGATGAGAGAAGAATATCCACCCCGAGTCGCGTTTGAATAGAATGGGAACAAAAGCAGCAATTGGCGAGGTCCTTTCTAAATCATATCTTGAAAGGTGCAACATATTGTCAAGGACAATGACATAGGCGGGGTGACAAGCAGAAATTGGGGATAGAAGGTTGATACACTTGATGCCCCTCCGTAGGCAATAAGATCTGAGAACGCAATTCACATTGACTTACAGAAAACAAGTACTTCGACTCAGGGGGAGTATCCGAGACACGGTGAATCTGAGATGTCTTCAAAAGTTGTGTTGGTCCCGGAGTTTTCCAAGTTTGGGAGAGAGCTCAGTCTCCGGTTTTCCTTACAAAGCGGGCAACTGAAAGAATTTATATAACAAAGAGAGAGGGCTAATAGATTTTGGATTCTTTGCGACCATTCAAATACAAACGAGATATATTTTTAATTAAAATTCTAGCGAATTTAGCGATCTAGAGCGAAAGCATACAGCGTATACACCACGTGGGGGGCGGTGACGCCCAAATTCGAAGTCACGGGTTGTTGACAGCTCAACTCCTCTTTACATGCACATCTGTCTCCGAAGCTCCGAAGCTCGTGTTCCCTGACAATCTGTCCTTGGTTTTGGAAAAGTTGGTATCATGGCAGGAAATACCGAGGAGTTGTGCCAGGCGGTGCTGGGCTTTGTCACCGAAGGGACCTATCCCGAGGAGAGTGTAGTTGCTGGTAACTTCCCGGCAGCTGCTCTCGCCAGGGAGCTCGAGCTTATATCGAAGGCACGTGAGCAGGTAGAGGTACGAAGCCCCCAATGGCTATCTACGCACGTCGGGCATTCATTACTGACCAGCGCTGCTTTGATTAGAATGAGATTAGCTCCTTGAGTCGCGAGAACACCTTCGATGCCGACGACTGGATTATCCAAGCGAAACAACTTCACGCCGACATAGAACGCTCAAGATTAACTGCGCGAGAAATAGTCGCGCAGCATGAGCATACCGAACCCCTGCAGGCGAAAGTTGAAGATGCGAGAGCGAAAGTCACCTTGGTTGAGACGGAGATTGCCTTCAATCAGGCCGTAGCGGATACCCTAGAGGAGGTGCACCGCTTGTGCCAGCAGCTGGAAACAGGGCGAGCTGCTCTCAGAAGTGGCCAGATCACCACCGCCATTGAACAATTGGAGTCTACCGACGCAGCTGTTGGAAAGGATGCCTTCTTTACGAATACAAATGTGATGGGTATACTCTCCGATGAGGTGTCACTGTTACGATCGGAGATTGTTGAGGCCCTTCTTTCGCGCTGGGCTGATCAATTGAAAGTTGACCGACAACAAGGCGAATTCCATGTCTCTAGCGGAGATGCAGATGCCGGTTCTATTGAGAGCACTATTACGTCGCTGGCCCGACTAGATATACTCACATCCTCCATCGAGAAACTGCAAAGGGACCTCTTTTCGGCGATCGTAAATCCGATCTTGCTACCTCACCCTAATGGAACTAGCCATGGTGTGGTGGTGACGGAGACTAGCATTCGCATTGAGCCTGAGGCCTCAAAGGCGACCGCACTGGAGACCTTGGATCGCCTTTCCAGCGTTTTGGGCTACTTGCGACAAAATCTACCGTCATCGGTGTCCGCGACTTTCTCCGAATCATTCATTGCGATTATTTCCTCAAAGGCAATCTGCGAGTGGCTGTCCCCTGCTATTCCCACCGATCTAGGTGGCCTCGCCGAGTTTGAGAATATCCTGAGTCATGTTTCACAGTTCACCCAGCAGATAGAGTCGTGGGGTTGGACTGGCCAAGAAGAACTCGTCTCGTGGGTCAACCAAGCTCCACGCCTGTGGTTGACTCGGCGTAGAGTCGACTCGCTCGATAGCGTCCGCAAAGTCCTTGCCGCCAGTCAGGGAACAACGAAACAGGTCGAACGAATTGAAAGAGGAAAGGTTTCACAAGCTGAAGGTGCTTTATTGGAGAATGCCGGCAATGAGGACTGGGACGCCCACTGGGATGACGATAAAGAAGATGAGCCCAAGAAAGCAGAAACAGCAAAGCCTGATGAAGAAGAGGAAGATGTTAGTGCGTGGGGTCTAGATGACGAGGACGTCGAGGAGACTCCCGATGCCAAACCAGAAGCAGCTGCTTCTGCGGAAGATGATGACGATGATGCCTGGGGCTGGGGGGATGAGGATGAAGATGACCATAAAGTTGATAATAAGCCTTCGGAGCCCCAGAAAACATCATCGACAAACGCAACCGACACGAAGAATACAACTCAATTTGTATCACCAAAGGAAGTTACCCTGAAGGAAGTCTTCACAATCACCGATATCCCAGAGTCTGTTCTTAAGGTCGTTCAGCAGCAAATCACCGATTCGAAGGATATTTCGCAGCCTGCGTAAGTCATGCCGTCTTCCAACTTGTTTCCTTTGCAAACTAACTAGAGCCCAGCTACGCCAATTCCCGCGTCGCTTCTTCTGGTGCTGGTCTTCTTGCATTGCCAACCTTGATCCTGGCTATGTTCAAAGCTACATCATCCACATTCTACTCGCTGAAACTCACTTCAGGGCAGATGTACCTTTATAATGATAGTCTGTACCTTGCCGATGAGATCCGGAAACTAGTCGAAGAACATGCACTCTCCAAACTCCAGCCCGACGTTGAAGCTTTGGAGAAATTCGGCAAACTTGCGTATAGCAAAGAGATGCAGACGCAACGCACTATCGTCACAGATCTGCTTGACGGAGCCCAAGGATTTGGACAATGCTCCGAGCAGCCATTCCAGGCAGACTGTGAGAATTCTGTTAGCGCAACCGTCGACCGAATTCGCGACGTTTACAAGGAATGGCAACCCATACTGTCTCATTCCGCGCTGCTCCAATCAGTTGGATCGCTCTTATCTACTGTGATCAACAAGGTAGTCATCGATATCGAAGATTTGGGTGATATCTCGGAGGATCAGTCACGGCAACTGGTCTCCTTCTGTAACCAACTCTCAAAATTGGAGGACCTGTTCATGCGTGAGACAGATGGTGATGCCGAGGCAATACCCGTCACTGCCATCTACGTTTCAAGCTGGCTGCGTTTCCAATATATGATCAATATTCTAGAGAGCTCCCTCGCCGATATCAAATTCCTTTGGCTCGAAGGAGAGTTGGGCTTAGAGTTCTCTGCTGACGAAGTGATTGACCTGATCGAGGCCTTGTTCGCAGAGTCTGATCACCGGCGACGTGCTATTGCAGAGATTCGAAGAGCGCCTAGATGATAAGCCCCATCCACGTAATAGAAATATCACTTCATTTACCAGATATATGTTAAAACTGCAGTGTATTACAATAAGCTGTGTAGACCGAGTGGGGCCATCTCCGCGCTCTGCGCAAGTGTGCCGCACGGGTCGCCGTATTTTTTCCTCACCCGCCGAAAATGCGACAGCCACCAAAAAAGTGCAACACCGGCAGCAATTTGAACGATTTCACAATGAGCGAAGATCTAGTCACTTCTGCTGCTGCAGAGTCAGCACAGAGACAAGTCCGTGTGCAGCTCATTAGCCAGCAGGAGGATATTGCTCTGCCTGAAAGCACCGGTCCAATTCTTGTTCCTACAGGTGAGACCCATTGCCGATCAGAAATCATAAATAGTAGTATCAAGTACTGACTCTTCCTTTAAAAAGGGCTTCGACGATATGCGCTATCGACACTGGTGAACAACCTTCTCTCAAGCGAAAAGCCCATTCCATTTGAGTTTTTGATCAATGGAACTTTTTTGCGGACCTCGATCGATGAATATTTGGTCGACAACGGTATCTCAGCTGAGACGACCCTCGAGATTGAATATGTTCGAGCTCTGATCCCGCCCCTGCATATCGCCTCGTTCCAGCATGATGACTGGGTTAGCGCGACAGACGTCCTTTCCACGACCTCACATGCTGCATCCTGGGCCTCAGGTGCGACTTTTACTAAGGGCCAAGAAAGAATTCTATCAGGAAGCTATGATGGTCTGCTTCGCATCTGGAATATGTCGTCTGAGACTATCGCGACCTCTCCTGCCGCCGCCGATGGTGGCCACACCGCCTCTATCAGAACCGCCAAGTTCGTTTCTCCAAACCAGATCGCATCCGCAGGTCTTGATCGCACGGTCCGATTGTGGAAGTATACTGAGGGTGAAGGTGGTTTCACTGGAAAAATTTCTCCTCAGCTGGAGCTGTATGGTCACAAGGCTGGAATCGAGTCACTAGCAGTTCATGCCAAGTCCAACCGTCTATTGACTGGTTCCGCAGATAGCACCGTTGGATTCTGGTCAACTAAGAAGACCGATGCCCCGGCAGCACCTGAGAACTTGCTTCCTTCTAGCAATGCTCGGAACACAAAGCGCCGCAAGCTGAACACCTCCGTTAGCACACCGCAGCGTGGTCCTCTGACTCTTCTGTCAGCCCACACGGCACCTGTTTCTGCTGCTATTTTCGATGGAAGAGATGCTACCGTTGGTTACTCGGCCTCATGGGATCACTCCCTGCGGACATGGGATTTGGTCACTGGTTCTCTGGTTGACACTCGCACCACATCACACTCGCTCCTCTCGCTCGAGCACCTCCCCGAACTCAGCCTCTTGGCTGCCGGTACTGCCGCCCGCCATATCACTCTGATTGACCCACGTGCCTCTGCTACTACTGTGGCTGCCATGACTCTCCGAGGTCACACCAACGCTGTTGTCAGCTTGGCCCGTGACCCTCACAGCACATATGGACTCATTAGCGGTAGCCACGACGGCACGTGCAGAATTTGGGATATCCGGTCTACCAAGACCGACAAGGAAGGTGTTGTTGGTGAGAGCGTTTACTCAATTACTCGCAAGAGCCTCGAGGAGGAAGGTAAGTCCGATAGCAAGCGGGTTGGCGGTGAAGGTGTCAAGGTGTTCAGCGTGTGCTGGGACAAGACGGTGGGCATTGTCAGCGCGGGAGAGGATAAGCGGATCCAAATCAACCGCGGCGAAGGCGTACTGCCTTCGGAGGCATGAGTGCACATATGGGCCTGGCGTTTTAACACTTGGTTGAGGGCAAAAGTTTAGACTTACATGTTGTTTTTTTCTCCTTACTTTCCCATCTTTGCGTACATCTTTAGCTCGGAATTGGATATATGTCAGACTACAGCCTGATATTCACTACGACTTTACCGTACATATATATAGTTCTGTTTTGAAGCTTCCATTCACCCCAGGTTTATGCCTAGCCTATAATACATCCACAGAGGGGTTCCGTTCACATATAAACTGGCAAAGGTCGAGTGCCAGAAATCAATACAACGCCAAATCCATGCCTCTCACGAAAAACAGTGAGACAATCCCATAAAAGTAACAATCGAACACGACACTATCAAGTTTATAGTCTCCGCTCCATGCGGTTCAACTTGACAGGAGTTTTGATCTATTAAGATTTAGTTAACCATAAGCTCGCATAGGTCTCTCAGGTGCAATATGAGATATCAATAGAGCACGAGGAGGAAGGGGAAACCCACCTGAGTTCGTGTCCGCTGTCCCCTCACAGGCAAGCCCAGCGCATGACGTCGGCCGCGGTAAGTTCCGGTCTCTTTCATGCGCTTGATATCATTGAGAACTTCTCTGCGCAGATCATTCTCAATTTTCATTTCGGATAGCACGGCTGTGAGGTCGAGGACCTGCTTGTTGGCCAGCTCGCCGACGCGGCAGGTCGGATGGATGTTGAAGCGGGACATGAGGCGACCGGAGCCGTTGCTGCCGATTCCGAAGAAGGTCTCGAGGGATTTCTATTGCGCTCAATGTATGTTAGTTGGGATATCCAGGCTATGGGCGCAATCGTGCGGGTTGGCTTGCCTTGAGCAGATTCCGCTCGGGGAAATTGACACCAAGGATGAAGACCTAAAGGCTATTAGCAGGTTTCTTTGGAGGAACTATTGTATCTTGACGGTGGCTAACATACCATCTTGAACTGTGCTGGCTGGTTGATGTCCTGACAATCGTATGGAGCCGTCACTTGTTGCTCTCGTTGAACTCCGGGAGAAATCCTCCGTCAACGTTTTTCCGTAACTTGGTGCCTGAATTCCATGGCACTACCCCGTCTATTCTCCGCATTGCAAGCTGGCCTTCTTCCGCTCCCAATTACTCTATCTTCCCGTCTCGCTGTATCCTACCAGAGCAGTGGCAATTAACAATCATGTATTTCCGGAATCTTCTCGTTTCCCTGTTCTTTGTCTTCGCCGTTGGCTTTGCCCTGGTTCAAGCCCAAGAGGCCAAGGAGCCTCGCGGCCCTAAGATTACCAGCAAGGTGATTGACATTGATATTCCGACTCGGTCTATATGCAAGCGGTACTGATTGTTGGTGACAGGTCTACTTTGACATTCAGCATGGAGACGAACCCCTCGGTCGCATTGTGATGGGCTTGTACGGCAAGACCGTCCCTGAGGTCTGTAGAACTATACTCTCAGTAACTAATTGATAATTATTGCTGACATTATTATTTGTATAGACCGCTGAGAACTTCCGGTATGGTGCATTGCTATGTCAATGTCTGCAACGTTTATCCTGCATATGCTAACCCATGTCTAGCGCTTTGGCTACTGGCGAGAAGGGCTTTGGCTACCAGGACTCTACCTTCCACCGTGTTATCAAAGACTTCATGATCCAGGGTGGTGACTTCACCAAGGGCGATGGTTTGTGAGCCTCCGAGCAAGTTGATTGCATTATTCTAAGTGTGTACAGGCACCGGCGGAAAGTCGATCTACGGCAACAAGTTCAAGGATGAGAACTTCAAGCTGCGTCACACCAAGAAGGGCCAGCTGAGTAGGCATTTCCACTCATTTGATTCAATCTTACAGACATCTGACCATTCTTAGGCATGGCCAACGCCGGCAAGGACACTAACGGCTCTCAATTCTTCATCACCACCGCTATCACCTCGTTCGTATCCCTTGCAGTGATTCCTTTGGGGCAATAACTAACGGAAACAACGCAGTTGGCTCGATGGCCGCCATGTCGTCTTCGGCGAGGTCCTTGAGGGCTATGAGGTTGTCGACAAGATCCAAAACGTTCCCAAGGGATCCGGCGACAGGCCCAAGCTAGCGGTCAAGATTGTGAAGAGCGGCGAGCTCGAGCTTGAGCCCGAGACCGAGGAAAAAGGTAGCCGCGATGAGCTCTAGACAGGTGACTGTCTACTTTCTGCTGCTAGTTGGAAGTGGCTGATGATGTTGGAGAACTTTAAGAACTCGACCAAGAGCCAAGTGTCACCGAAAATGCTCCCGATGCTCCCGAGGCCACGCCATCTTACTTACTGCAGCTGGTCGTGATTTTCTTCGTTCTGGTAGCCGCTGTGGGTATCTGGATTGCCCGTCGGCGAGGCCAGCAGCAAGAGCAAGAGAAAGAGAAACAGTATGATGCCTAAGAAATGATATTAGATCAATGAGACATTATTTTTGGACCTTCTGTCCCCCTAAACCCCTGGATTTTAATGCCCGATGACCCTCATCATAGATCACCCATGGATGTGACCTCACGTATGTAGGTGGTGATATACTTTGGGGGACTGCGGGAAAATCATCCACTCAGATCATAAGGTTCGCCTCCTATCTTAGTCAGGCAAGGGTGTCCAGACCGCCTACGTGCAGCAACTGGCGAGTAGAAATTTCTTCAGTGGCGGTAGGTACCTAACCGGTACTTCTAGTAAGCAGGTAAATATAGCATACAGATAGGTTCCATTCAGGTACCTCCAACAGCCACACACGCCCCAAGTCTCCAACTTTTGTTGCCTCCTTCCCACAGACTTCATCCGTTCTCTTTCTCTCTTGATTCAACCCCCCTCCATCATCCCTTTTCTCACTACTCTCTCTCTCTCTCTTTCTCTTCTCTCTAGAGTTCTTAGATTCCGGAGATTTGCATTTTCCATATTCTCTGTGGTTTTCCTGAGCTTTCTTGTTGCCACTCGATCTTTTTTTTTTTTCTTATCGAGTTAAAACAGAAAAGCGATTTGATCTTTTCACACACTCTCTCTCTAAAGGTACACTTTACGTGGATTTGTTTTTCTTTGCAAGTATCTTTTCCAGATCACTTGCGCTTTATCTACGACCAATATTTTCCGGTGAAGCAGAAAAACTGTACGCAACATCGTTCACCGTCGACATCGGACATCTTCTAACTCTTGCTTTCCAATAGACACTTTCAACCGCAAAAATGGCCGACGGTTTGCAAATGGGAAACCTTTCCCTCAACGAATCTCAGCACGCCCCCCAGGGTAACGCCCCTGTTGGCCGTGCTGCCTACATTCCTCCTCACCTTCGCCAGCGTGGTCCCGGTTCTGGTCCCGCTCCCGCCCCCAGTGCTAACGCTGAGGCTGCTCCTTCTGGACCTGGCTTCGGTGGTCCTCGGTACAGTACCAAAATGACTGACTATCATGAATCGGCAACTGATTTTTGTATTTTATAGTGACGCCGGTGCCAACTGGGCTAATGCTAGCGCTCCCAACTTCAGCCCTCGTGGCCCCGCGAACGGTATGACCAGCTGGACTCCCGATGGAAAACTCCGGCCCTTCAATCCCAATGCTTACGGAAACCCAGGATCCTCTTATGGTGGTGCTAGCGGTGGTGGCAGCAGCGGCGGCTACAGCGGTGGTGGCGGTTCTCAGCAATCCCGTGGTGGCTCAGGCGATGGCCAGTGGCGCGACGGCAAGCACGTTCCCGGTCCTGCCAATGCTCGCCTGGAGCGCGAGCTGTTCGGAGTGCCAAACGACCCCACTAAGCAGCAGACTGGAATCAATTTCTCCAACTACGATGATATCCCCGTTGAGGCCTCCGGAAACGATGTCCCAGAGCCTGTTACCCAGTTCACTAACCCTCCCCTGGACGACCACCTGATTGCCAACATCAAGCTTGCCAGCTATGTCATTCCTACTCCCGTTCAGAAGTACTCGGTCCCCATCGTCATGAACGGACGTGATCTTATGGCTTGTGCCCAGACTGGTTCCGGAAAGACTGGTGGATTCCTTTTCCCTATCCTCTCTCAAGCTTTCCAGAACGGTCCTTCTGCTGCCCCTACCCAGGGTGGCGGTGGTGGTCAATTCAGCTACGGCCGCCAGCGTAAGGCTTACCCCACCTCCCTCATCCTTGCTCCCACTCGTGAGCTGGTCTCTCAGATCTTCGAGGAGGCCCGCAAGTTCGCCTACCGCTCATGGGTTCGCCCCTGCGTCGTGTACGGTGGTGCAGACATCGGCTCTCAGCTTCGTCAGATCGAGCGTGGTTGCGATCTTCTCGTTGCTACCCCCGGTCGTCTGGTTGATTTGATTGAGCGTGGACGTATCTCCCTGGCTAACATCAAGTATCTCGTTCTTGACGAGGCTGATCGCATGCTGGACATGGGTTTCGAGCCCCAGATTCGCCGTATCGTCGAGGGTGAGGATATGCCCGGTGTCGACGATCGCCAGACACTCATGTTCTCGGCCACCTTCCCCCGCGATATTCAAATGCTTGCTCGCGATTTCCTCAAGGACTACATTTTCTTGTCCGTTGGTCGTGTCGGAAGTACTTCGGAGAACATCACTCAAAAGGTCGAGTATGTCGAGGATGCTGACAAGCGCTCCGTCCTGCTCGATATTCTTCACACTCACGGCAGCACTGGTTTGACCCTCATCTTCGTTGAAACCAAGCGCATGGCCGACTCGCTCTCTGATTTCCTGATTAACCAGCGCTTCCCTGCGACCGCCATTCACGGTGACCGCACCCAGCGCGAGCGTGAGCGTGCTCTGGAGCTCTTCCGTAACGGTCGCTGCCCTATTCTGGTTGCTACTGCCGTTGCTGCTCGTGGTCTCGATATTCCAAACGTCACCCACGTCATCAACTACGATCTCCCCACTGACATTGATGACTACGTTCACCGCATCGGTCGTACTGGTCGTGCCGGTAACACCGGTATCGCCACTGCTTTCTTCAACCGTGGCAACCGTGGTGTTGTCCGTGACTTGCTCGAGCTTCTCAAGGAGGCCCACCAGGAGGTTCCCGCTTTCCTGGAGAGCATTGCCCGCGAAGGTAGCGGATTCAGCGGTCGTGGCCGTGGTGGTGGTGGCCGTGGCCGTGGTGCTACTGCTACTCGTGATGTGCGTCGTATCCCTGGCGGCATGGGTGGTGGCTTCGGCGGTGGCGGTGGCTATGGTGGCTCTGGTGGTGCTGCCCCCTCCTACGGTAGCGGCTATGGCGGTGCTGCTGCTCCCGCCTACGGCGGCAGCGGTGGTGGTGCTGGCTACGGTGGAGGTGGTGGTAGCTACGGCAACCCCTCCGGCTCCTCCGGCCCATCTTCCTGGTGGTAAATCAGTCGTGGTCTTTTGACGATGCCCTCGGGTCTGATTGGCTCCCTTGCTTTATTTTCTTTTGTCTCTCGTTGACGGATACGATCAGATTGAGTCCCTGAGTTCTCTTCTACCTGTGCTATCTCTCAGGGACGGCTTTGTCATGACTGCACGACTTTCCTATGCTTGTTTTAGATTCATATTTTCCCGTTTGCGTATGCTTTAATCTCGTTTCCTTTGCTGTTCCTCTCATGTCTCTTCGCTGATTCTATTCATGGCTTTTCAAATATTGCCTTGTAATGGATACGAGGCATTCGCGCAGTCCGATCTTCTTTTTTTGCTCCTGGGAGACACCACTACTCTCTTGGGGCAACCCGTGATCGAAACTGCATGAACATCATAGAATGCGTTGTCTTTTTTTTTCCTATGTCCGCTCTCGTCAGATACCCCTTATGTTCGAGCATCCCCACTGGGGATACGTTCGAGTGACGCGCGTGCGCCGAGCGGAGATTGATGACTTTTCATCATCTCGAAAAGTTTTCTTTTTCTCTTCGCATTCATCTTCGGTGTTGTTATGGCTGCATTCATCATATGCAGCATAGACTTTTTACAGCGTCGGTATCTCATGGCGGACATTTGTTTCTGTTGCTGCCCTCGTGCGTTCTGCAGTCGAGTTTTTTTTTTCGAAAACAAAAACGTGCGCTTTCTTTCTCCGCGCTTTTTTTCGGATACTGGTTATCTCGCCGTTACACCCCCTGGCGCGGCTGGTGTGTTTCGAAGCCAAAAAAGGTATTCTTTGCATTCTGTATGGCGTTGGCTTGACCTGCAACTGCATGTCCTCTGCTTTCGGGTCCGTGGAGGCTGATTATCTCCGAATGAGAGCATCTTGCTTCATTTCCTTGTCTATTTTGATCATTTTTCTCGGACCTCGGGGGATAGGGCGCTGTCGCCACTGGAAGAATGGGCATATGAATTCTCGGGTTCGAATGAGGAGTGAACAAGCGAACCAACGGCCCTGAGATGGCCATGAGAAGGAAAGTTCTCTTATCCAATGCAATTTCGAAAAGTGTTTCCAATTCTTCTCTAGGTTGTAAAGTGGGAATTCCGTAGGATTAATATGCATGTAAATAACACATCATAAATGGTAGTTGCTATTGCGCTGCTTCCTCCGTCGATTGGAAATCCAAATGCGTGGCATTAAGCGCCATATTAAACGCGCGAGGTCTGATACGGGTAGATATCACACCAGCTATACCTTCATGGGCCACTCGGCTCTGCTTTCTTCCTCTTTTTCCGGCTTTTGAACTTCATTTTCCCTTTTCCCGGTTTTACTTGGCACTCCTTTTCACTTTTATCCTTTCCTTTTTCGTTTCGTTCCTCTTACACTACTTCTGCCTCTTTCATCGGCCGCCTCCTAGGGGGCACTTCACATTACAACTTGCGATTCTCCTAGAATCCTGATCGCGGACCTGCTAGCGGTTCCAATAAACCCAAGATGACCGACTTCGAAAACAGTATGATGGACGAGTCCTTCGCGATGTCCGAGGCTGCGGATGACCAGTCTCACGGCATGACCGCGAGCGCAACGGTCGGTACAAGGCGGCAAGCGAATGGCACAATTGGCTCTGTCTACTCTGGCAATAAGATTCGACACCTGAAGAAAGACGACGGCATACCTCTATGGCGCAAAGATATCCAGTACCAATTCCTGAAGCTGGTCTTTGAGGACAAAACGCCTGTTTTTACGCGGTATCCCGACGGACAGAAGGGAATGGACTTCGCGGATGTTTACATCAATGCGATGGCTCGGAGCAGCAAGACCAGCAAGATTCTGAAGGATAAACTGCAGAACGACAAACCGGCGGCTATCAATATGGCTATGGTTTGTCTGCTGGTCAATTTCGGTCGCATGAACACTACCCTGAACTGTACGCTTGCAGCTATGCCATAATATACTTGACCTCTGTGCTAATCACTATCGTCGCGATTTCTAGTCTTCCCCGAAATGCGTGCTCAACTCCGAACCTACCACTCGATCCCCTCACTACAAGCGCATCAGGATTCCAACGCCTACAAGCAGCTGCAGGATGCTCCTCGTCTGAAGTCTATTCTGAAGGGCGCTTCAGAGGATGTGGACCAGCCGAATACCCTCGAAAAGATTAAGCGGCAGAATATACCTCGGACCAACCCCGTGAACTTGATTTTTGTTCTGGCGCAGTATGCCCCCAAAGTGTCAGAAACACACTTCTTTCCTCCGCGAGACTTCTTCGACCTAGTTATGAGGTCTACACTTAGCAGCCAAAGTCGCGCTAGGGCGTTCCTCTGGCTGATGTGGTGGTATCTCGAGAGCGATTTCAGTCGCGAGGCTGCCTTGAACAATCCGTTTGGTCCAGGTGTGGAAGGCGAGGGTGCAGAGGGCCTTCCTTTGAAAGTACCTGCCTTTGATATCTTGACAGAGGAACAAGCCAGCGAAGAGAATTTAGATACACCCGAGGAACAGGAATACGGGGAGTCCAAAAGATTAGAGCGCAAACGTACGTGTGCCTAGGTCTGACTGTTGAAAATGGGACACTGACATTTTGCGCAGGCATCCTGGAAGAAGAGGAACCACTACCGCGCATTCCCAAGCGACCCAAGAAAGGTGAGTTGGGAATTCTGGAGAGCTATCATATTGTACATGTCTACAGAACGCTAACCTTTTCTAACCGCAGAATTCGGCATTGACGAAGAATCATTCGCAGGAGACTACTCTGGTATGGGAGGTCGTGGCTCTGCTATGTCCACCCCTCTACACCCTTCTGCTAAACGCAGCTTAGATGATGAGGACGATGATATGACCCCCGGTCACTCCCGTCCGCGACCTAAACAGGCCAAGCGGGAATCATCACTTAATCGAGCCGTGGGCCAACAGCGACTCATCTTGAAAACGAGGATGGAACATACTCCCGATGCTTCCCCCGCTCCTCCAGGCCCCAACCATCCAGTTCTTAACCGCTTTATTACTGAGCCTTCGCTTTCATCGGCACCTACTATGCGTCGGATGCGGCCACTTACACAGCACCAGATAGCCGTTGAGCAAAATCGTCGGCAGAGGATTGACTATCTGCTGGCTAAACGTAAATCAAATGCATACCGCGTTCTCCGTGCTAAACGGGAGAGTGAGATTCCTTTCGCGCGCTACGGTCGCTTGCTTCAGGGTCTGCCCGAGGGCTACGATACAGATGACGAAGAAACCTCGTGGGGCAAGGGTGGCCTCTTCCCGAACCCGGAAGAAGAAGATGACTTTGGAGAATGTGCGAGCGTCTTTCTCTCTGTAGTGCGAAAAGCAGCCCGCCGACTCGATCGCTGGGATTACACCGAAGCCAATGGTCCCAAGAAAGACCGCAAGATGGAGCGCGAGGAGCGATACCAGGCCAAGGCGGCTCTCGAAGCTGATGTGCGAAGTTCCAACAACCGATCCCGCCCGCGTCCTCGTCCTAGTGCTTCCAAGCGCAAGTCTACGGGTGTAACGAACAACCCCGGCACTATCAAGAAACCCGCAGCGTTACAGGCCAAGGGCACTCACGGCCATCCCGATGCTTTGGGCGCAGGGCCATCGGCTATGGGTACCCCAACCTGGGACCCTGAGCACGGACCCGATGACTTTATGGAGGGAGAACTGGATGATCTCGACCGCGAACTCCTTGGCGAAGTTTCTGGCGACGAAGATGATGGAGGTGCCCCTCTACGAGCGGACGAGGAAGGGGACTTCTCTGACGATCAGGATGACGAAGATGACGTGGACGGTGATGAAAATTCCTCCGCCTATGAAGGCGCCAATGGTTACGGACGACATGAAGCCTCGTCCCCAGCCCCTCGGGGTCTACCTAGCCCACGCGGGGGAGGTTATGGAGACGACGCGATGGAAGACTAATGGGTTGGCGTTTTGTTTTTGAAATCTTGTGTATCACGATCTACTCTTTCTTTTGTCTTTCTCCTATGTTCTAGGCGTACCATTCTCTTCCGGAATGGTTGTATTTCAAGTCAATTCCACCCAAGCCCTTGACATAAGTGGCGAGTACTACCTTGACATCCGACGTGCATTGCATGTGATAATTCCCCTCTTTCTCCCCTTTTCATGCTCCGTACATCTGTCCACTTCTATAGAAATCCCAGAGAAATTTCAGCAGATCATACGAGTAACGGGAGTCCGGTGTCCGAGTGGATACGAATTGCTACAGAGCGGTGCGGCCAACAATACGAGGCGGATTCCTAAGGGTACATAATTTGTTGAGATCCTTTACGCTTACACTTTTCCTCTTCTCCCCAACCTGAACCGACCTCATTTAACCTCGGAAATCCCAGAACCCTGAGATAAATAGCAAGCTGACCCTTGTTGCTTCGAGGAAGTTTATATTTCCGGTAAGCGTCATGTCCCGCTAAGCTCCCCCAGTCTCCATTTTCGATTTTCTCCTTTCCCCATACTTTGACATTTCGCTTAACACATTCCCAGTCACAGATCATCTTGTGCCATCTATTACAGCTCGACTTACAGAGCTTGGATCATCTAAACGTGTGGGACAAATAAAACACAAGTTTTTTTTGTCGCGCCGGCGATCATCTGGTCCCCGGAAAATTTAAGGAGCTTTGAAATCAACACACAAATACATTTAGCCATCATGAACGAACACCCTCGCATCCTGCGTCCGCGCCCGAGACGACCATTCGATCTGACGCCCGCTTCCACGGAGTCGTCCGGTCCCCCAACACCGATCGAGCCAGAGTACCTGAACCCGCAAGCAGAAGCCGCGTCCAACTCAACGAGCGTGAGCCGCACAGGATCAGTGATGAACCTGACCTCCTCGACGCTGTACGGGATCTACTCCCCGACAGCATTTGACGGGGCGGACCGCGACGAGTCTAGCCCCTGGGGCACGGAAGCCAACAGTCCGGAGTCAGAGTTCCCGCCCGAGCAGTCGCAGCGCGAAGCAGAGAAATCGGCCATTGAACCGCGGCAGATGTCGCTGCGGAGGACTCGGTCTCGTCTGAGCCATGGAATGTTCCGGGGCGTGATCTTGCCGCAGGCACTGAGCAGCGTGCTGCTCTTTGGCTTTGGTCTTGCTTACGGTGTGATCACTGTTTATCTTCATGATAACCATTGGATTACGCCTGTCAAGCTGGAGAATATTCATTACTACGACTTGTCGCAATACTTGGTCTCCTGGGGGTTGGCTGGTGTTGTTCTCGGTAACCTGCTTCCTTGGCTGGATGGTGAGGTCGAGTCTGATTCCGAGCTTGCGAGTACCGATGAGGACGAAAGTGGGGATCGCACCCCGGCTTGGGTTGCTGTTGCTCGCAGTGTTGGAGCGTTTGTTGGAATTGCATTTGCCATGGTAAGTGGATTCTTTCTTTTTTGCTCCATTGCTATATGACAAGGCTGACTTCTCTTTTTTCTTTACAGCGGAGACTCCCTTGGGAATCTACCACACAAGCATCGCTAACCCTCGCGCTCGTGAATCCCGTTCTCTGGTACCTGATTGACCGCACCACGACCGGCTTCGTCCTCTCAACCACCGTTGGCTTGGCCGGCATGGGGGTGGTCCTTGGCCTTAAGCCAGAGCTTGTGCCTGCGTCGACCGGCCCATTCCGCACCAGCATTCTGAATGGAACAGGACTAGAGCATGTGCTGGGTCCAGATTTCGGTTGCACACAGGAGAGCTTCGCGGTCGGCACTTGGATTGCCAGTGTCATTTTCTGCGCGTGCGTGTGCTTTGGAAATGTTGGCCGTCAGCTTGCCATCGGAGCTCGCGTCAAAAACGTTATGAAGTCGTGAGGCTCAAAAACGCCCGAGTTTTCCTGGTTCATGATTGAGGACTCGAGCTTTGCTGGGAACGGCCTCATGAAGGATAGGGAACGTTTAATGTACATTCGAAATAATTCATGGCTCTGATAAAGAATTGTAATAGAACTCGGCTACGCCGAATTTTTGCTACGCAGAAGACTACTTTACTCCGTATATCAAAGAACTCTGATGAAACCTACAAAGATTATAAGAAGCGAGGTTTTCAAAAAGAATATCAATTATATTTATTATTTCCGATTGGTATGTAGAATCAATCATTGCAATCCCTACTACATGACCGAGGTCAAGCAGGCACTGCACCCAAGATCGATACCTTCGCCAGTTGGCACTTGGTCTCCATTCTCTATACGATTTCCGTACTTCATCAGACGAGTCTTCGTAGGAACGCTTTTTGAGTAGAATGTGAGTTTTGCGTTGTTCATGAAGAAGAAAAAGAGAAGGAGAAGATGGCGCATCTGAGAAATCTCTTATGTATTCCCAGGTCACGTGTGCCGCTAAGGTCTCCTACATAATACTGATCTCTGATTGGGTCGCGCCACAGTGGGCTGTGGTTGATCACGTAATATAACTTTTGCTATCAAGCCCCGCCGCCGCAATCGGTCCGACCCCGCGAGTCATATTTTCTTCTTTTCTTTCTGTTCGTCATTTGTTATACCCTCTTCGCTTGGTTTCAGGTATGTCATTGGAGTCTTCATATCAATCAATTGCTTCAATTGCGGGCTGCATTTGGGAATTCCTTATCTAACATATCTAGTGTCGACCGTAGGATCCATCATGTCTCAACAAAAGACCGGTATGTCACTCTTGGCTTCATAGTTCCCCGGACTATGATTTATTTATTCCAAGCAGTTCATGGTCAATTCTAATATTCTGATTTTGTGATTGAACAGCTATCATCTCCGTCTATGACAAGACTGGTCTGCTTGACCTGGCCAAGGGTCTGGTCAAGCAGGAAGTCCGTCTTCTCGCGTCTGGCGGTACCGCTAAGATGATCCGTGAGGCTGGATTCCCTGTCGAGTGAGTTGCCTCTGTCATCGATGACGCAACGAAATATAAGAAGAAGCGTTAGGATCAATACCCAGCCCAGGAACTAACGATTGATCCCAGGGATGTCTCTGCCATCACCAAGGCCCCCGAGATGCTCGGCGGCCGTGTCAAGACCCTCCACCCCGCTGTGCACGGTGGTATCCTCGCCCGTGACATCGAGTCCGACGAGAAGGATCTCGCCGAGCAGAAGATCTCCAAGGTCGACTACGTCGTTTGCAACCTGTACCCCTTCAAGGAGACCGTCGCCAAGGTCAACGTCACCATCGACGAGGCCGTGGAGGAAATTGATATTGGTGGTGTGACTCTGCTCCGCGCTGCGGCCAAGAACCACAAGCGTGTGACCATCCTGTCAGACCCCCTCGACTACTCCGATTTCCTCAAGGAGCTCGAGGCCGGCGCTATCACCGAGGCTAGCCGCAAGCAGTACGCCCTCAAGGCGTTCGAGCAGACTGCCGATTATGACACCGCTATCTCAGGCTTTTTCCGCAAGGAGTATGCTGGCAACGGTGCGCAGCAGCTGTCGCTGCGCTACGGTATCAACCCCCATCAGAAGCCCGCCTCTGCCTACATGGTTCAGGGCCAGCTACCTTTCAAGGTCCTCAATGGAGCTCCTGGCTACGTTAACCTGCTCGATGCCCTGAACGCCTGGCCTTTGGTTAAGGAGCTCAAGCAAGCTCTTGGCTTCCCCGCCGCTGCCAGCTTCAAGCACGTTTCCCCCGCTGGTGCCGCTATCGGCGTGCCCCTGAACGAGAAGGAGCGCAAGGTCTACATGGTGGACGATATCCAGGATATCGAGACCTCCGGTCTGGCTCAGGCTTACGCTCGTGCCCGTGGTGCCGACCGCATGTCCAGCTTCGGTGACCTTCTCGCCCTCAGTGACATCGTCGATGTCCCTACCGCCAGGATCATCTCGCGTGAGGTGTCTGACGGTGTCATCGCTCCCGGCTACCAGCCCGAGGCTCTGGCCATCCTCTCCAAGAAGAAGGGCGGCAAGTACCTCGTCCTCCAGATGGACGAGGACTACACCCCGGCACCTGAGGAGACCCGCACTATTTACGGTGTCCACCTGACCCAGCAGCGCAACGACGTCGTCATCTCCCCCAGCAAGACCTTCAACACCATCATCACCCCCAAGACCACCACCTCCCTCCCCGAGGCTGCTCTCCGTGACTTGACCGTCGCCACCATTGCCCTCAAGTACACCCAGTCCAACTCCGTCTGCTACGCCCTGAACGGCCAGATCATCGGCCTGGGCGCTGGCCAGCAGAGCCGTATCCACTGCACCCGTCTGGCCGGCGACAAGGCCGACAACTGGTGGATGCGCTTCCACGAGCGCGTCATCGGTATCAAGTGGAAGCAGGGCACCAAGCGTGCTGACAAGTCCAACGCCATTGACCTGCTCTGCTCGGGCCAGACCCCCCGCACCGAGGCCGAGACCGCCGAGTACGAGCGTGTCTTCGAGGAAGTCCCTGCTCCCTTCACCCAGGAGGAGCGTGAGGCTTGGCTCCAGAAGCTCAGCGAGGTCGCTGTCTCGTCCGATGCCTTCGTACGTAATCCCCTTGTCCGCCCACACTCTTTCGTAAATGCTAATTGTCATCACTAGTTCCCCTTCATCGACAATGTCTTCCGTGCCGCCCGCTCAGGGGTCAAGTACATCGCCGCCCCCACTGGTAGCCAGAACGACACCCCTGTCTTCGAGACTGCCGAGAAGCTGGGCATCACCTTCGTCGAGCAGGGCATCCGTCTCTTCCACCACTAGATTTTTCTAGTGTCTTTCCCCCTCTATTCCCCTTTCCTTTTTCTCCTCGTAAAAAAAAAGACGCCGTCTTGTGGTCTCCACTGTGATTGATATTCGATATGATGATGATGTCAGGTTTTTCCTTTTGATTTAGATAAATTTATACACATATTTTGAATACAGATGGCACATAGTAGTCAGTTACAATAACTCCTGAGAAGTTCCTTCGACTCTAAGACCCCGGCCCGTGTCGCATGGTTTGACGCCCGGAATCGAGGTTGTTTTCTTTTTCACGAAGAATCCTAAATTCTGAACGACTTTACATATTCTCCCATTGGATCTCTGACTTCTCGCCAGGTTCAGCCCCAAATGAATCGTTGCTACATCGATGGATTTCTCCGTCGGAACTCCGCTGTAGCGTCCGTTCTCATCGAACTAGCCTAGCACCCCTCTTGAGATAAGACAAAAACACCAAGCAATGACCAAGCAATAACTAAGGAATCACCAAGGAATCACCAAGAAACTACCAAGAAATACCAAGTAATAATATCAGAAACTGGCAGAATAAGAGCTATAAATTACCACCTGCGCTCTTAAGCTATCCCGCGCAGAGATATCGAAGTCGTTATGCCAGGGGCATTGATCTCTAGTGCCGGTTGAATTCCGGATTTTGTCTCAAACTTCATGCAGCTACTAGAGGATATATCCAATCAGATCTGCCAATCTTAATTAGTGCTTTTTTCGCCATCGCAGTCCGGAAATTAGGGTTGCAATCACAACATTGCGATTAGCTGTCCCGTGTGTACTATATATCAGGGGGAAACTCCCCATCCCAGATAGCCGAGTATCACCACAGCTCCATTGTTCCTCAAGATGCTCGTACGCCAAGTTTGTGTCGCTCTGGCGATCGCGGCTCTTTCTGGAGCCGTCCCAGCACCGGTGAAGCATGTCTTGCATGAGAAGCGAAGCGAGCATTTGGATTGGGTGAAGGGCGAGCGCATTAAGCGTGATTCTGTGCTGCCTGTGCGCATTGGTCTTACCCAGAATAATTTGGAGAAGGGTGATGAGTATCTCATGGCTGTGTAAGTTGTTTTATGTGTCTTGTCCTCATGGTGTACATCCTAATCACTAATATTTGTATAGTTCTGACCCCAGCTCCCCCAAATATGGACAGTATTGGACTGCGGAGGAAGTTCATGGTTTGTTTGCGCCTTCAAAGGATTCTGTGGAATCTGTTCGTCACTGGCTTGAAGCTTCTGGGATTCATGAGTCCCGGATTGTACACTCCGATAACAAGGGATGGTTGGCTTTTGATGCCTATGCGCATGAAGTGGAGGATCTGTTCAAGGCTGAGTTCTATGAACATGAGCATGCCAGCAGTTCCAGCATCAAGATTGGCTGTGAGGAGTGAGTCTTGCTGCTTCTAACCATCTTGGACTCTTTTAACAGTGTTAGGTACCACGTCCCTGAACATATCCAGGCACACATTGACTATATTACTCCGGGTGTCAAGCTCAGCCCCATCGTCAAGAAGACCACTAAGGAGAAGCGAGCGTCGCATTTGGTTCATTCCAAGGGCACGCCCGTGGGAATTGATGACTCTATCAACACGGTTATTCCCGAGAAGGCGAAGTCACTTCCTGCGGATCTCCAGACATGCGGAACCAACATGACTCCGGCCTGCATCAAGGCCTTGTACAAGATTCCAAATGCCACCAAGGCAAAGAAGGGCAACTCGCTTGGTCTCTACGAGCAGGGTGACTACTTTGCCAAGTCAGATATTGATCTGTACTACAAAGCCTATGCTCCTTGGATCCCTCAAGGCACTTACCCCATTCCTGCCTTGATTGATGGTGCCAACTTCTCGGTGCCTGATTACAGCCCGCTGAATACTGGTGAATCGGATATTGATATTGACATGGCGTAAGTACAGTTGTTTTCTACTTGCTTCTCTGCTATTTGCTAATATCGCCAGTTATGCCCTTATCTACCCCCAGTCCGTGACTCTTTACCAGGTTGATGACCAAATCTATGAACCGCAAGAGGTTGCGACCACCAACCTGTTCAACACTTTCCTTGACGCTCTCGATGGTGTATGTCATATTCTGCTGAAGATAAATGCATATTGCTAATAATTTCAGTCTTACTGCACATACAGTGCCTTCGGTGAAAAGGGCGACAACCCTGATATCGACGCAGTCTATCCCAATCCCCAACCTGGTGGCTACAAGGGTAATATACAATTTCCACCAAACGGACTGATCTGATGGCTCACACAAAACAGGCAAGCTTCAATGCGGTGTGTACAAGCCCACAAACGTCATCAGCGCCTCCTACGGACAAGCCGAAGCCGATCTCCCCGTCGCATACACCAAGCGCCAATGCAATGAGTTCCTGAAGCTCGGCCTGCAGGGCCACTCCATCCTATTCGCCTCTGGCGACTACGGAGTCGCCTCCTTCCACGGCGACGGAAGTGCCAACGGATGCCTGGGACCCGAGGGAAAGATCTTCAACCCCCAATACCCCTCCAACTGCCCCTACGTGACCTCCGTCGGAGGCACCATGCTCTACGCGGACCAGACCGTCAACGATGCCGAAAGCGTGATGCACGCTAACTTGGGTGGTACCGCCGCCAACTTCAGCAGCTCGGGCGGCTTCTCCAACTACTTCCCGCAGCCTTTGTACCAGAGGAAAGCCGTGGAGAAGTACTTCAAGAAGGCCAAGCTGACTTACCCCTACTATTCCGAGTTCGAAGTCAACCTTAACAAGACCAAGGGTCTCTACAACCGTATTGGCCGTGCTTATCCCGATGTGTCGGCCAATGGTGCCTTGTTCCCTGCTTACACCAATGGAGCGCTGCACCACTTCTATGGCGCTAGTTTGGCGTCGCCATTGTTCGCTTCGGTTCTGAATTTGGTAAGTCGGGAATTTGAATTTGTTTGTCGACCGTGCTAATGGATCTGCTCTTGGTAGATCAACGAAGAACGGCTTGCCAGGGGCAAGCGCCCTGTTGGTTTCGTGAACCCCGTGCTCTATGCTCACCCGGAGGTTCTTAACGATATCACCAACGGCACCAGTGCTGGATGTGACTCGGACGGCTTCAGCGCTATTCCAGGGTGAGTACAATATTATATATTGGCTGTGGGCTTTTTACTGACGTACTATGCAGATGGGATCCCGTTACTGGATTGGGCACACCTAACTATCCCAAGTTGAAGAATTTGTTCTTGTCTCTGCCTTAGGTGGATAAGGGCAGAGTCTGTTTAACAGATTTGAAAACCGGGTACTGATCACTTTGACATCAAGTACCAAGTTATTTCAGGCAGGCGTGACATTGGGATTTCTCTATGATTCTATGTCCAGACTACTCTTCTTTTGTTATTTTTGCTCTCTATGTCTATATCAATGAGATGGTTGAGCAGATTGTTTATACAGCTCAGCGACCTAGGTATCTCCTATTTATGTGTAAAAACACTTCGATGTGTTTTCGGATATTCTCTCGAGATGTCTTTTAGATGTATAGGAAGGGCCAGCGACTTTTCTATATGTAGCCCGAGACTGGCCCATGTCTTATCGAGAAAGTTACCTTAATTCTGAAAGAAAGTCTTATCGCATTCCTATTATTGAATTTAAAAAATAGACCAATGTACATAGGTTACTGTTCTACGACATGAGAATATATTCAGCCAACTTCTATCTGTGTTTTGGTCACCTAGGATATTCACAAAAGGATTGTGTGTCGCTCGTTCACTATATGCATGGTTTTAGAACATTTGAAAGAATACAAGTGATTATCTTCTTTTCAATAACCAGAGTTGCCAGCATTTATACAATCCCAAAGTGTGATTGTATGTTTGTGCCAGGGTGTCGCAAATATCAGACCATGGTCCTATCCACCACATACCTAGAGCTAGTGCGCATTTTAGATTGAAATATAACTATTTTACATGTCGCTCATTTGTTTTAATCAATCAAACTACCAAATTGGTCTAATTTACTATTCGTAGCTTCGGTCTTTTATGGTTGGATCGAAGGGGACGGGCCGCTTCGATCTATATCGGATGGTCCGTGCGCCGGCATTTGTATAGCTTCAGATATCTATAAACCCGCGATATAAAATCGAATAAATCCCCGTTTCTGGTCGCCACAATCATCAATAGGCTGGCGGTCTCAGATAGACATCTTGGTTAGGCACCGACGATTCAATTGCAATTGACAATGGCATTCAGGCGGTAGCCAGAAAGGGAAATAAAAGCTGAGAGGGGTTCCTGCTCAGGTGCTCGCTCATGTGCCCGCTCAAGTGCTCGACCTGAGAAAAGCCAGTAAACAAACCCTCATCCATCTCCCATCCCACACAACCGTGCAAATTCTGAGCAACATGGCAATGTTTCCAATTGAACTTCCTGTGAGTCTGATCCATCAAAACTGAAGCTCAGAATAGCAACTAACAAGAGCACCCACATAGTTCAGCGATGCTCCCGTCGAGCGTGGCGCGATTCTGAGTCCCCCAGGTACCAGAGTCTACCAAGTCTTCCTGGCAGTCTACCACCGAGGCGAGCTCTCTCTTGGCGAATACCGACGACGCCTAGGCTTCTCTGCTTACCACTGGGCCATCCTCCTCTTCGATGCACCAAACAACCGCTACTACGCCTTCGACGTGACTGACGGAGCCTCGCCCGACCCAGTGTACCGACGCGACCTCAACCCCGATTACCAATGGACCTACCGCGTCAAGAACAACGTTCACCCGGCCTCCTGCGACTCTCTCCTGATCCGCATGGCAATCGGCGAGGTCAACGATGGAGTCGGCCCCGACTCCATCAAGATCCTTCTTCGTTCTGTCCCCCTGCCCATTAAGGGGGCTGAGCCTGTCCAGAACTGCGTCACCTGGATCAAGGCCGCTATTCACAAGCTTCGCTTCCATGGCTACGCCAGCGACTTGTACAACGTTGACGCCACCGTTGACCGGGCCCTCGCTTATGCTGATCTCCGGATCATGGACCCCGTCAATTCGGTCTCTGTTATCGATCATCTCGGCAATGAGATGGTCCAGAATGTGTACCTGGAGTGAGAAGCCTGGAAGGCTTGAAGGCGAGGGTGGGATGCGCCTTGCTGTTGAATGTGCAAGCGCTGGGGCTCGCTGGAGTCCGGTTCGAGTCCGGCTCGAGTCTGTGGCCTGTGGCGCCTAAGCGGCGTCTAAGCGTCGCCGAAGCAGCGCTGGATGTCTCGTCCAGCCGTTGCTGAAGCGACGCTTAGGCGTTGCTTAGGCGTCACTTGACTATCACCTATTCGTCAGTTCTCACGAATGAATGTTTTTCTTCTACTTTAGTGCTCTGTAATCTGTATACCTATGGTATTCATGTTCACGTAGGACCTGGCTATGTAGATATAGATCGCTGTCACGTGCCATGACTGCCCTACATCAAAGGATAAACGGGTGTCTCCACAGGCACAAAGAGGCCAGAGATTGATCAAAGCGTCCATCTCGCCCTGAAAATTTGTTTCCCTGACTTTGGCCTTACCCACCTCGCTATCCTATTCCTTTTCCGGACATGTATGTGTTTTTTTGTTCTAGAATTCACGTGCCTACAAGCTGAAGATGATCAGAGCGCACAATCATAAATGATTAATTAAATAACTAACTAACAAAGCCCGAGCTATATCCGAGCGGCCGACAGCTCAGCTCGAATGGACCCTTAAACGAGAATCCCCATGGCAGCGAGGAACACGCTAAGCGACCTGCATGACGGACTAGAAGAAAAAAAAAGCCATGAGTCACGAGGCGAGGACCTCTAGTTAGCTAGTTACTCCGTACAAAATGTAGTGAATCCACACGGACCATTCCATCCGGCCAGCCCCGTGGCCATGTGCCGTATAGCCAGCAAACCTCGATCTAGCGGTGGACGAAGATCCATTCCGGCACCGGCAACGGAGTCCCGAGATCGAGTCACATGCGTCTTTTGCACGTGTCGATCACCCGTGAATGAAGGTGATAGCCGACGTGAGCAAAGCCAGAGAGCTCTAGCGTGAACTGGCGACGTGCATTGGGGAAGCATGTTATAGAAGGTGTGCACAGTGCACGATCCACCCCTGGGACGGAACTCGGATACGGAGTTTGCCTGGGCGGATGGAGTTTTGCCGAGGATCGGAGGAATTTGGTCGCCTCCAGCCTTGGAGGGGCTTGCGAGGGACATTACCTAATTAGGTGGGATAATTTTATGTTTATGCACTGGTTATTAATGGAGATTGTGTGCATAACTAAATTGTGAATTGGTTATTAAGATGAGATTATGTGCATACACACGTATGTTATGCATATCATTATCAGCCGCAAGATACACGTCACCTATTTTAGGCAGGTGGTTATCTAGACTTTGATTGGTGACTATTATATCAGGCCGTTGTACATGTAATGTGTTGTCGTCCACATCATCTCAACCATCTCAACCATATCAACTGCCTAGACAATTGGCAATCCACTTCTAATACACATCAAAGAATCATCTCTCGGCAATAAATAACAGATAAGAAATTGCCGAAGCCCAAGTCCTTGATGTCATACTCTGATACTCGTCAAGCACAGTGGATCTCGGAGAATCAACAAAAAGCCGAGGATCCGCTGTCGATTATTGGCGTTTCAATAAAAGTAAAAGTATGATGATGACTATTGTATTGATCTCCGATCCATCCCCACAACATAGACCTTGAATTGAATTGTTCTGGCCTGTGGCTGGATCGACCTGTTGACCTCACCATTTCCTAATTGGGTAATTTTCAGAGTAGATTGATATTGATGGAAAATCGAGAAAAGATTGCATGATATGGTAGCCTAAGACATAAGAGCAGCCTAGAGTTAAAATGAAACAATCAGGCCAGATCAATATGTATTGGGATCTTCGTATTCGGCTAGTCCGTAGGGCTATATCAAGTGGAGATTAAAAGGGTAAGCTCTGCGAGCGAACCACCAGGCCAGGTGGCATTTGAGTGCTTATGTCATCAGAAAGCCGCATCCGTGGATTCGGATCTTGGCTCGGTGATATCCGCATGGATCTTACCTAAGCCGCCAAGATCGTCGCCTGCCTGGACAAGCCCAAGGCTGCCATCTGAAAAACAGGGCCTTACCTTGGCAGGGTTGGAGTCTGTGCGATACGCCAAACACGCTATGAGGGCCAAGTATGCTGGACGGAGTAAGGAATGTACATTGTGCCTGTATCGCGAGGCGAGAAACACCTAATCTCACCCCCTCCTTGCAGGGCGCAGTGTGAGCAGATTTCGTGTGGGGACCAATGAGATGCGCCAATTCTTGCCCATCATTAGTCAGAACCTCCTGTGTGTTCCCCACAGCCCTACTCCGTACTCCGTACCTCCTCGGACATGGATTCCTGGTCAATCACGAATTCCTGGGGAATGCCTCCATCCTGCCAAGGCTGGGCACATGTCGTACTCGTCTAGGGGGACAGAACACAGGCGAGGGGTAGTGTTGCATAACACAGGATACGCATACGGAGCAATGTGGCTTGGCTTCCAAGGTTCCAAGAGCCTCCATGCTAGATAGGATGTTGACACGTCGCGGGGTCAAAGCAATTGTCAGCAATTGTCAGATCGTATCGAAGATGATATGATTTGGCGTGCTAGGATTAGAAATCGAATGCTCTGTAATACAAATATGAGTTCCAAGGATCATGGGAACCTTGTTGTTATATCAGTAATCAACAGAGTACCTGGTAAACTAGGTCGCAGAGGTACATATAACCTGAATAGGAAATAATGGAATTAGGAATTAGGAATTAGGAATTAAGGAAAAGAATTCAAATCAAATAAACGGCAGACGTGCGACCGAAACTCCGATCGGTTTTTTCATCCTCCGATGCGGACCAGAACGGCGTATTGGCCATCCGAGTGCCGCTTTAGATGACTCACTGTATTAACTTTCGTAGTTAATTAGATTTGAATTGAATTATAAGCACGGAATACTAATCAATATTTACTGTCAATATCTAAAGTATACGTACAAAGTGTAACGTAGCGGTGAGGATCTAGAAATCCCAGGGAACCTTGGAAGCGACCAGTGCATTACTCATTTACTCGGGCTCGGCGTATACCTTTTCTCCATTTATTTCCGGTGGATCTCTCGTCATCCGTAAAGTCCGTTTCGGGTCGATCGGGTCGATCGGACTAAAAAAAAATAAAAGAAAAAAAGAAAACGCTGCCTTGTCAGATTAAATATAAACCTCTTGTCCAGGTGTTTCTGATATCTGAGATTCCCTTTTTAAACCCGCTACACTATCGATCTGGTCCCCCTTGGAAATCACAACTCGACCTGTCTATACTTTCATGTATACCGAATCCAATCTAACACCGACTTTCTCCCTTATATCACACCGCCTCAAAACGATCCACTGTGACTGGATGACGCCTAATTGAGTCACCACCAAAGAGTCATACCCAATATCCCTGAAAAAGCTCGTCTGGCCCACCATGGACTCTTCTTCTACCTCCAAATCCCCCAGCCCATCCTCCGAATCCTCACCCTACTTCGATTCTCTCCTCCGTCGCCGTCAAGATAAGAAAATGAGCATCACTCAAACATACTACCTCGCTCACACCGCCCGGAAGAAGCTCACCCGTGAAGCTTCCCGGGCGGACCACGACCTGCGTCTGCTTGTCGGCCACGCCAACCTCCTCGACTCACTAATGTACGATCTCGCCGACGCTGAGCGTGAACAAGAACGCTGGTTCAACCAGACCGTCAACGGAGCCACCAAGGCTTCTGCCCCTGCTCCTTCCTCTCGGCAACATGTCCAGTGGGCCTCGACCGTGGTCGAAGAGCCCGAGGAGGACTGGGATCCGGAGGATGCGTCCGATGTGGACTCTGAACTCAGCGACGACTCCGACTACGACGAGTCCGAGTTCATCATCAACACTCCTCCCCGCCGCCGCGCCCCATCGCCCGTGGCTCACTTCGAGGACCTCCTAGAGGAGGATGACGACGACGATGACACAGACTCAGACTTTGAGTACGACGAAGCAGATGATTCGGACGAGCTGAGCTTGACTCGCTCGTCATCCCGACAGTCACCACCCGAGCTCCTCGTTGACTTGGATGGAGACTCCGAGGACGAGGCGACGCCGCCTTCCCCGCTCCAGCCGACGCTGGAGTCGTTTCATGAAAAGGAGCCTACTACTACGGCTATTACCTTGGCGAATTCCGATCAACCCCATCTCTTTGAGCAGGGGGGGTATTTTGGTGCACAAGAGCAGACCATCATCGAGGCTTATTGAATAAGCTCGATCCCTCATATATCCACTCCGTTACGACCCCGACTTATACCTCTCATCTCTACCCCTCTCTCTGCCTTGTGTACCATCATCCAGCGATACATACGTGATACCCTGATGCTTTCTATGACGATACTTTTTGGAGCGAATTTATAATTGACATCTCATCTATTTTCTATTTTCTGGCGTTTTCTGTCGGTCGCGTTTTGGCGAATCTCCATCTTTGGACATCTCATTGTATGTCACATGGACATTTATTATATTTTTCTTACATCCCCAGCTATCTGTGATAGTGGCCCAACCTCCAGCTCTCCCTGGAAAGGTCGAGACTGCATTGGATCGTTGAAACACGGGGGAAGCCATTGTGAGCCCAACCAATGTACACACAAACCAAGTGTCTTCACTTCCCCCACAAAAAAAAAAAAAATAATCCAATAAAAATTCCAAAATCCTCAACATTTTCCACGTACCAGTTCCACGTACTCCCTTAATCTCCATATTGCGTACCTTCGTCGTAGCACAGCAAATCCCCAAAACCGGCAGAATCGCGCATGTGACCACGTCGATCCACGCCCCGAGCGCGCCGAATCCGTTTCCAGCCAAATAGAAGTGGCAGCCGGCCAGCACGCCATGATCTTCACCGCCGGATAAGAGAGATAGATCAGAGCCAAGACGTGAGATCATCGCGGCTAGGTCGGCATAGGGCGCTGCGACAGGTTGCTAGTCAGCTGAAGGATTTTACTAGCTCATTATTCAGGCCATGTTCTCCACGGGAGTGGGTTACGAAGGGGCTGGGTCTTGTCTCGTTTTTTTTTTCCATCGCTTCTTTTTGCTTCGAATGGGTCCCTTGGCTTTGTTAGAGGTAAGGCAGGGGGAGTCAGATTGGGCTAGTGGGTGGGAATCTTGAGGCTGGGGGTGTTTCGGGTATGCTCCGCTGTTGGGCGCTTTTATTGGTTGGGCGCTCAATAGATCTTCTTCCCCTATCTGGCAGCACTTTCCGTTATCTGGCAGTTTAGGTGCTGGTAAGACCCTGAGATTGAAATTAGTCAGCTTTCGTATCCGGACCTTGGAAGTCTACGGGTGGCGGGAATGGGGTATATCACGTATGGAGTATGATTGCTATGGAATTTACTTAATATAGTAGGTTGGTCCTTTATCTTCATGCCCTAACAGATCTGGTCTTTGTACGGAGCACGGCAAATTAGATTGATACCATTGTAGTTCGGATTATTTAGATCATTCAGCTACATATATTGCTCACTTCAACTCTGAACTTTATCATGCTTCCCAATGATATAACGAACCATTGGTCTTTGTTTGTGTTGCGTCCATCCTTCTCATGTGAAACAACCTTAGCTTTGAAGAAAAAAGAAAGGAAAAGGTTCATGGCACGCTCATCATGTCACAAGAGTCAAAACCCCCAGAAATCATCTCCAATCGTAAAACAGCTGAGAATCATACAGATTGTTAAAGCTGCCGCGATTGAGAATTTCCCTTTATAAACACGTGGACAAGTTTTCTTCAAGCTCTACTCGACAGCTGAGGCTTTGGAAAGAAATACTGGGCACTAAATATCGCCTCTTTGGCATCCCCACGTAGTTAACACAAATGAAGCTTCAGTCATTATAGGGTTATGTCAATCACCGGACCCGTGGACACGTGCCTGTGTGGACCCAAGCTGGCATTACATAAGCACAATGAAGCTCGCGGGCAGGGCTCCCGCTATCGATAAATGATCACCGCCCTGAACCGCCCTGACGGTTGACCCCTCGCTGCATCCGTCATTCCGCGCGAGCACGATGACTCGTGATGATCAACCTTCCTAATTTATATTGCAAGAACTCCAAAACATGATCCCAAAACCCTGCTTGGTCCTGTGGAACCCCCAACAACCGCGCGGCCGCTGATACGTACTGGTCTTTCGTCATTTACGTCAACACACGACCCACGCAAACCAATAGACAGACCTATTATACCCCTGTTCCTTTACATCACCAAAGATCAACTTCCTGATGTCTGCGCCAACTTCTCCTACAGTCTCATCTGAGTCTGTAGAGCGACCTGAACTCGGAGATCATACGATCTCAGCTGGGTCTGGTCACACCCGTGGCCTCTCTAGTGAGGATAAGCCCAAGAACCAACGGAGATCGATCCAGTTTAGCATTGCAGAGGCTCAGTTGCCTAGTCGCCCGTCGAGCTTCAAGGAGAAGCGACTGTCATACGGGGATACCCCGTCGAGGGAACTATTGGAGGAAAAGGAACGCGAACATAAAGCTGCCCAATTGAATCGAGGGCCGTCTCCACCGCCACCGAAGTATGCTCCCCTCAAAGACACTGAAATGGCCTGTACTAATGTATGGCAGAACCTACGAGCGAGGCGTCTCTTTTGACACGTTCGACAATTTCGATGCGACCGACTTCTCCCTCACATTAAACTACAAACACAAAGGCTACCAGTGCACGCGTCGTAGCAGGACCTTTTTGTGCGGAACGGACCAGAACGACTACTCCGAGTTCGCCCTCGAATGGCTCATTGACGAGCTGGTGGATGACGGCGACGAGATCGTCTGTCTTCGGGCGGTGGAGAAGGACTCGAGCATAGCCAGCGACGCTGGAATCGAAGAGCGAAAGTACCGCGAAGAGGCCGAGAAGCTATTTGAGCAGGTGATTCGGAAGAACAGCCAGAATGAGAAGGCCATCAGTTTGGTCCTGGAACTTGCCGTGGGCAAGGTTGAGAGCATCCTCCAACGCATGGTAAGCTTCCAAGAACCCCGTTGTTGCCTCCTAACAATCTAACAATCTCTAGATCCGCATATACGAGCCTGCAATGCTTGTCGTCGGTACACGAGGACGCAACTTGAAAGGAGTGCACAGTCTGCTCCCAGGCTCCGTCTCCAAATACTGTCTCCAGCAATCCCCCATCCCGGTGATAGTCGTTCGGCCTTCAACGAAGCGCGAAAAGAAGAAGAAAAAGCGCCGTGCAGACCCAACACGACGCAGCTACAACCATATCCTGGAAATGAGCGAACAGCGCGGCAGTCAGATATTCGGCGCCAGTGCTAGCAACGATAGCAGCACTTCGAAGCTGCCAGACGAGGAGGCAGCAGTGGCAGAGGCACTCGGACTCCCTGCATCATACTCGAATACGGCCTCGCGCAGTTCTTTGTCGGTCTCAGACCGTAGTAGCGTTAGCCACGATGACTCCGACTCAACTTATCCTATTCGGAACTCTCTGGATGCAGTGGTTATGGCGAGTCCGGGTGTTGCAAGTTCAGCAGATAGCTCCCAGGAGAGCGTCATTGCTGGCAGTAGTGCCCAGCCATCTCCTTTGCTAGAGAGCACCGTGGCCTCACCTACTCCATCCGATCAACTCGAGTCTCCTGTGCCAGACCCCGCTCCCGAGGCTGATAAGCCAGAGGAGGATGAGCCTTCCGATTCAAGCAAGAACCCCGTGTCAATCCCGATGATTGAAGTGTCAGAGAACAACGATGAAGACGACAACAAGAAGGGATCTGAATCCTGACAGCATTGCTTGCTCCGCGGCGGCTCTTTATCCCCATTTCTCCCATTTCGCTCGTGTTGGCGCCATACATTACATCATCGCGCTTTCTCAGATACCCACGATGCATACGAACCATCCCTTGCTACTTCTAGCGCCTCTCTCTCGAACAGAATAATGAACGTCAGGAACCACGTCGGCTCGCGACGGGACTGACAGTTATACCTCAGCTCAATACCCTCATCACTTATGGTTTTTAAGATATGTTCCGACCTGGTTAGACAGGGCACATGTTCTGGCCATGTGGATTTCTCTCCCTCTTGTGCCTACAGCCTGAATTCGCTAAATGGATGCATAGACATTGATTGCTTAATCCCATAGATGTGCAGATTTCTTGTAAACTACCTGTGTACTCGTAGTCAATATTCATACTTTACACTTTGTTCACTGTGGATATTCTATTCTTTGCGGATGATTCTTCTTCTTATCCTTCTACAATACCAACATGGGAGTATTGTTGATAAAGACATAAAGACACCAACAACATAAGCGGCCGACTATTCTCATCGTAGTATACCCAAGTAAGTATAGGCACCGATCCATGCTATATTGTTTGTTGAAAATTCCAAGTCTATAGTCACGTCTAATACAGAACTCTACGAGTAGCTCAATAGTCATAAAGGAAGAGATTAGAAAGAGCCAGAAGGCGAAGCATTCATTCAATTACACTAAAGTTGAGTGGAGCTCCGGGTATTGGGAAAAAAGGACGAGGACAAGGACAAGCAAAGTGCAAGAGCAAATAACAAGAGCGAAGAGAATATGCAAAGCACAAGAAAGGAGGAAGAGGAAAAGAGAGCAACACAGCAACCCCTTCATCACTGTCATCATCAATCTCTTGTCAGTTCCCACCCCTACGCGAGTTGCATATGGGGAACAAAAGAAAGACAAGAATTATGAAATAGAAGTGATTGAGCAAGTCCAATTGCAAAGCAAAGTCCTACTCTCAAGCACAGCCCCACGGACCACACCCATCTCTCGATTCAATGGAAAGAAAAGAAGGAGGAAGCAAGAATAAGAAACAAGAATAAGAATTGAAAAAGATGTCAAGATTGTACACTATGAATTGGGTCTCTTTTTCGAAAGAAGTTCAAAAAAGTAAAAACCGGCCGTGATAAAGCGTGAAAAAACAAGTCCTAGGGGATAACCGACCAGTCGGAAAATGCAAAGCGAGGACTGTGACCGATTAAGAACAAAGGCGCATGGCTTCCCTCACGGGGAAAGAACAAGATGGACATGACGAAAATGAGGAAATCTTTTTGTGAACCAAGAAAATGGAAAGCGTTGATCATTAACTCCTAAGGACTCTCTATGCTGTGGATTCTCCGTCCTTGACAGACGGGGTTTTTGAGGGACGACGCTCCGCTGCCGCGGGCTGCGACTTAGTGAGCATCGGGGATGCAGGGTTTGACGGTGGCGAGGTAGCCATGTTATCCCGATCTTCAAGGGCAGCAAGCGCACTGGAAAGGGTATTAGCATGAGGATTTTTGCAGGGAAGGGTTAGGGGTTGCATACCTGAAAGCATTCATAGAAGAGTTGTCTTCCTTCTTGCTGCCGCTAGTGCCGTTGCGGCTGCTGGCAGCGCTGTCGTCACTACCACGGACCAGGCTACCACCGGGACCGAGGTTCTTGCGGCCGCTGTTGGTACGCGAGCCGAGTAGGCTGGATGGACCGAATGACATAGGCTGGTTGGTGTTGCGAGTCGAACGCAGGCGGCGGAGATCGTCGGTGCCAACCTTGCTAGAGGCATAATCGGGAGGAGGGGCTTGGTTTCCGTATCCGAAACCGCGGGCGTCACCGCGACCCATGGGGATGCGGCCACCGCCTCCACGGTTGCTGGACTGGCGCTGGCGCTCAGCTTCAGCAGCTTGCTGGGCACGGGCAGCCTGTTTCAAGAGTTAGCGAGAGACATTGGAACATAGCAATAAAGGTTACTTACAGCCTCACGGATCTCAACAATGGTCTGAGGACCCTTATCGGCATCCTTAGAGTTCCAGCGTGCGGCACGCAGATCAATAATATCCTAAGAACCATGTTAGTCTTCTATTTCCCCCTCATAAGACGAAGAGATAGAGATAAACTTACTAGAAGCATGAAACGAAGACGGCTGGGCAGATTAGGTGTCTCAACCATCAGGTTGATACGAGTAAAGTAGGCGTCCATCATGGCAGGACCCTTCTCAGAGGCATCGAGGCTGGCACCGATGGTGCGCAGCAGACTGGTCAAACTCTCGACCTCGGCTTCATCGGGAATACCCTCATAGTCCACAAGCTTCTTAACACACTCGTGCATGATACGCTCTGTAAGCATGCCAAGCTTGTAAAGTTCACCAATGAACTTGACGAGACCAAGACCACGACGCTTAGCGGCGGCAGCGATGTAGTATTCTTCAGACATCATTGCAACCTGTGGTCGGTTATTAGTATACGGGAAAAATAACGTTGAGATGTAGAACGACATACCTCTTCAGTAGTGCCCTCAGGCTTGTTAGGCAGGTTAGTCTTCCAGCCACGCTCGAACTCTTCTTGGCAGCGGTTGAGCAGGTACTTGCGGAACAAACTTCCACCAGCAACGACTGTGCCATTTCTGTCACGAATGTTCTCATCCTTAATTTCTGGGCTCATGCTCTCCAGCATGCTCTTACAGAACTTGGCGTACATGGGAGCCCAGTGAGCCTCATCAGTAGCCTTCTCAAATGTGAGTTGGATGACCTGGCGCAGGGTGCGGCCGTCGGACTCATCCTTGGACTGGGAAACAATCTCGAGGATCTGACCAGAGATACGGTCAAACTTCTCCGGGGTCATCTTGTTAAGAGCAGCCTTGACCTTGCGCTGCACGACATCCGGTGCCAAGTAGCCGTCACCACCAGGGGCGGGACCAGCGCCAGCGTTTTGGCCAACACTGCGAGGCTTCCAGCCAGTCGCGGTGGTTTGAATAGCCTTCAGATCCATGCCAGCGGTAAGAGGCATCGATTTGTTTTGTGCCTCATCCTGTCGGCCGCCGTGCTTATTCTTATTCTGTCGGCTGTCGTTGCGGGGACCCTTGCTTGAGTTGCCACGAGGAGGAACACCGGCAGAGTTTTGGCGAATGTTTCCAATAGCCATGCTACCAGGACCGCCGCCCCGTCCAAATGGAAAGGCGGACGCGCTGCGGCCGGTCAGTGATCCGCTGCCCATAGCGGGCATCTGGCCAGGTCGGCCTGTGTTGAAGTTGCCCATGACGGGGAAGGTAGTAGGACCCATGGTGCCGTTGCGAGAGGGACCGCGGCTACCTAAGCCAGGAGTGCGGGCAGACTGGGATCCAGATGGGTCACCGACTGTGTCCCGCAGACGGGCGTCCCAGTCTAAGGAAATCTTGTCCTTAAAGGCGGCCTGGAATTGCAGCAGGAAGTCCCGGTCGTAGTGGAACTTGCGGCCTTCGGGCGCAGCAGCGTTCATAGCGGCGCTGGGAGGGGTGATGGACGAGGGGTAAGTGATCTTGCTGAGGTCTTTCAGGAACTTGGCATTCTGCAAAGACTTCATGCCTGCGGTTGCTTGCAGGGGCTCGGTGGGCTTGGGGGTATCAAGCTTGAGACCAACGGGCTTCTTAGGAATAGCACTGGCAGGCTTGGCTGGCGGACCCATGTCGGACGAAACAGGAGTGGCAGCACCGCTGTCGGCAGGCGTAGAAGACTCAGTGGCAGTGTAGCCACCCTTCTTGAGCGAGGCAAACGCATCCTTGGCGTCTTCCTTGGCGGCCGCTTCACCACCGACACGGGCGGCGTTCTCGCGGGCAACCTCGCGAGCCTCGGCCTCAGCTTCGGCCTTCTTCATGTTGGCCTCGTAGTTCTCAAGTTCCTCACGCTCCTTGCGTTCGGCTTCTTCCTTTTTAGCTTGCTTTGCGCGGTTGTAGTCTTCCTCAGCGGCGCGCTCCTTGGCTTCAATCTCGGCCATTTCACGCTCGATGGCATCAAAGTCGATCTCATCATCATCCGCAGGGGCAGGGGCAGGGGCAGGAGCAGGAGCAGGAGCAGGAGCAGGAGCCTTCTTGGGCTCTTCAGCAGGGGCAGCAGCCTTTGATTCTGTAGCAGCCTCCACCTTCTTGGGTTCCTCGACGGGAGCGGCCTTATCTTTAATGCTAAGATCTTCAATAGCAGCCCGGGCAGATTCAGTATCATCCTTCTTGGCAGCAGCCGGCGCAGCTTCAGCGGTCTTGCGAGAAGCCTCATCAGCCAGACGCTGCTTTTGAGCAGCTTCGTCCTGCTGGATCTTCAGGCGAACGGCATCCTTCAACTCTTGCTTCTTCTCTTCATCGGTCTTCACCTTGTTCTCGGTACGAGTGTGCTCAGACGCGCTGCCAGTGCGAGGAGGGGGGGTGGATGTAGGAGGAGTGAGCTTCACGGGCGAAGGGGTGGCACGAGCAGGGGAGGCGGGGTTCTTTTCGAAGGTCTTGACTGAGCCACTGTTAGGGTCCTTGATGATGATTGGGCTCTTCTTCGCCGAGGGAATAATGAAGTGAGGCTTGGGAGCGGGGCTGTTGGATGCGCGGCTGCCAGTGTGGGTGTGGCCGGCGACAGCAGGGCCAGTGGCTGCCGGTCCCTGACCGAGGCTCGAACCTGGACGATCAGTAGATACTTGAGAGGGGGTACGCGAAAGTGGCGTCGCCTGAGGCATGGGGTTAGGGAACTGTTGTCCCATGTACTGAGGATTGTAGGGCATGCCGGCAGTACGAGGTTGGGGGGACGGGGGTCCCATGTAGTAACCACCATTCGGGTTGTAGTAACCAGCGTAGTTGGGATCGTATGTGTTGGGGAATGACTGTTGAAATTTGACCAATGTTAGAATCTGTTCGAACTGGCCACTTTCAGGCGCAAGGTCCACGGGGCACTCGGGAGAGTATGTAGGGTTGTCTTTGCGCCTCCAAGAGCTGGAAAGGTTCCTTTGGGGACGACGCCAGGGGTCCTGGGAAGAACGAGAAGGGGGGGATCTCACAGCTTGGGGGCCCATGTGTTGACCGTAACCATACGGTTGCTGAGGCATCTGGGGGTGTGCCATCGGAACCTGGTTCATCTGGGGAGTGGTAGGGTTAACATTGGCCAAGGCAGGGCTGCGGTTGGCTTGGTGAGGCGAGTTCGGGTAGGGGGCCAAAGGACGGCCCTGGTTCGAGCCGTGAAACTGGGGACCCATGTTAGGACCGCCTCGCGGCTGATTGGGGGTCTGTCGGAAACCGGGGTTAGGGGAGTAGGGCATCTGCTGTCCCTGGTAGCCGGGCTGGGAGTATCCGCGACCGCGACCGCCTTGGTAGCTTGAGCGGTTGCCCATGTGGTTGCTCATATCGCTGTGGGTGGATTGGGAGGACTCGCGACGCAAGTGCTGAGCACCGTGTGCCTGTGAAATCGAACACATCTATGTGAGCAAAACCAGGTCGAAAACACGAAAACAAGGACTTGAAAAGGTCGCGCACGGGTGGTGTCACGCTGTGTACACCGGGATCACTCAAGAGGGAAGGAGCAGAGGCACTTACGTTAGCATCAGCCGATTCTCCGAAGCTACCGAAGTTGGGCACATTTCCTTGTGCCTGGTAAGTCGATGGAGGTGGGCGGCCGCCGCTGGATGCGGGCTGGGGAATAGGCGAGGGAGAAGTCTGAGGAGACGTAATCCGCGGGTTTGTGGAAGGAGCACCAAGTCCAGCTTGCTGGTTGGAGGCGGGCACAGCGGGAGCACCCATGTTGGGAGAACTCTGCTGGAATCCGAACTGAAGGCTGTTGGGCCGACTGGCCGGGCCACCGCCGTTGGGCATGTAGCCGGAGGTCCCGCTCGAGGTGATGGTCACAGATGGCTTGCGAGAGTGGTCCCCGGAGGAAGCAGCCGAAGCAGAGGGGGCTCCATTGACGATGGTCACGCCAGAAGAGGCAGACTGTTGAGATTGCTTTTGCATGGGTTTGCCGTTCACAGATACGGAGCTCGACTGCCCATGTTGCGCTGAACCGCCCACGGTGACGGGTACGGCGGTTGAGTCCGTCGCGGACTTCTTAGTTGCGTTGGCGTAAGATCTGGCTGGCGCCTGGGCAGCCAGGGGGGTAGAGGATGCGGGCTGGGTCGAAGCGACGGGAGTAGCGGTGCTTTGTCCTTGGTTGCCCGACTGAGGAGGGTTCGAGCTCATTAGACAGGTTGTACGTCTAAACGCGCGGAGAGGGCGAAAAGGGCGATGGAGGCAGGTGAGAGAGAGAAAAAAAGACGAGGTGATGTCAGTACGCGGAGGCGTAACAAGGCCACATCCAAACCTAGCTGCAGGTTGTTAAAGGGATGAAACTTGATTTGAAATAAGGAAAGCGAGTTTCCAGTGACACAGAAGACCAGGTACGCAGCAAGAGCAGCGTTTTGGTCGACAGTGTTATGTGTTAAAGGGTTATTTCAAAGGGTAGAAGGTTGGTGGGAGGGAAAAAATTCACGGGAAAAAAATATTCGGGTTTGTGGAAAACGAAAGGGCAGAACGAGAGTGCGTCCCGGCTCGACCAACGTACCTTTGGATGTGAATGTGTTTTATGGGATGGATTCTCGTGAGAATCTCTAGAAAAAAGGTCTTGATGAAATGTTCAAAAGAAAAGTGAGAGCAATGTGGAAAAGGTCGAGAATAACGTCTACAACGCCACCCACATGTTACAAAGAGATCTACATGGGTTAGTACATGAGTATAGATAGTATCTACACGGCCTCAACGCATATCATATGGGCTATAGGGTTCAATACTAGACATGACTCTTCTCGTGAATGACTCTGGGTGTTTCTTTCTTCCTCTGGACCCTCTACATGCCCCCATCTGCCCCATCTGCCCCATTTGCCACTATTGACCCATCCTATATCTACATCGACGAAGTACATCTACATCGAACTATACAAGGTACTTTAGATACATAACGGACTATGCTCTGTATATCTCGCAGATCCTATTAGATCTCCTATCTTATTCCTATGCACCCCTGACTCAACACACCAAGCATAGGGATATATCAAATACTTCCCCGTCTCCCCGTCCCCGTCCTTGCAGTGCATCTGCGTGAACTCTTCCATGCAAGGCTATTCCTCCGACCGGAGGGATTCGGCTTGACATCCTCGGCTGTTCTTAGTGGTATTTGAGCTTTCGATTCAAGTTTCAATTCAACTATTTTTTTAGCAAGGCAGAAAACAACCCGGAAACATCTATCATGTCTCCCATCCCTATCTCTCAGCAAGAGCAAAGTGTTCAAGTTCTATTTTGGTTTTCTTATTCTATCTGGACCCCTGTTGAAAAGCGGGACATTCTCCGCGGTCAGACTCTCAAGATCGGTCGTGCCCGGTTGTGCGCGATCGGGCAATCTCATCGACAGCCCGTGCAGCGAAGTCAGTACCAGATGAGCCCGAGGAATCTTGCTCGTTGCCGAACCAACCAGATGTCCATCCACTAGTCTTTTGTTCCGGGCGACTTCCTAGATCCGCATCAACAACCTCGAAGGAGTTTTCGCTGCGATTCTTGCGCAACGGCACGCCATAGGCAAGGTCATCAGCCTCGAGCCCACCACGAGGAGTGCTCTGCTCCTCTTGTGTTAGAGTTGACCGAAGGTAATCTAGCACCTCTCGCTGCGAGGAAATAAATTGAGCCTTCTCGGTTCCAGACATAGACTGCAGCTGGCGCTGGAGGAGAGTGCCACTGGCGGAAAGCTCCTCGTCCCGCACTTCCCGAGACTTGCCAGTGGTAACTGAGCCCACAGCCGCACTGAAAAGAGAGTACCAATCAGTTGTGTTGGCGGGCGCCCCAGCTCCTCCTGCGACGGGGATGTTGAACCGCGATAGTAGCGACTGCGCGTAGGAAGCGGCACCTGGCTGAGGGGGTGTCGGGCGCTGCGGAGGTAGACCCAGGACCCTCTGCCGGACAAAGTCGATGGCCTTGTAGAAGTATTGAAGACCCAGTGCCTTGGCCCGCTCATGGGTGCGGCCGATCATCTCTTCGATCCCCCGCTCATGGTGTGTCAAGAACGGATCCACGTAGTCTTGGTACAGTAAGCGAGCCCCTTGCGTCTGGGGAAGAACGAGATAAGACATGAAACCGAGGCGGATCCAGCTGTAGAATGGGAACCTAGATAATTGAGTCATTAGCTTGTGATCTTGAGCCGGAGCGGGGTTGAACTATACCATCCGATGATAAAAAATGTCCAGGATTCAGCCAGCAGAATGACTGAGAGCACCACCCAGTACATCAGCCATGGTGCGAGTTGCGAGGGGTCAGAGGAACGGAGAGCCTTGTAGGAAGCAAAGACGGGGAAGAGGATCGTGATGACCGAGCTATCAGATAGCTATGCGTTAGCTTACGGATCTCTTCTTTCCGAGGTATATGCTTTGAACTTACGACAATAAGTCCGCAAAGATTCCAAACATGATGAAGCCTGGGTGAATTGAAGATGTGAAAAAAGAAAGTCACTGGGGATATTTAAGTCTTCAGCCCCGCTGATCTGAGACTAACGCCTGAAGTCGGACAAAAAAGAGAAGAATAAGGCAACAAAGATAATTTAGGGTATCCGATGCTTGAAAGCAGAATCAAAGAAGAATAACTATAACTATAACTATATTAATAGTACGCGCAAATCACTTCACGATAACTCCATGACAGACGTGACCGCTTGCATTTCCCCAAGAATCAACGGATGTGTGTTGACGTCACGCGAAACACTTTTTGCTTTTGAGGTGCCATAATAATTCAGTCATTCATGTGTTTTGAGACAATATATATCTTGCCATATTTGAGGGCTTTTTAAGACTCCAAGACTTAGGTGCATACGCTACACGAGGGACAAGCCCGAGGCACAAGCAACGAGTGGCCCAATCACCCGAGATGCCTTAGTTCCTACGTGTTATGGCCCGTTCCTCTTTCTCTTCCAGGATTTCCTGTTTCGCTAGAACCTTTGCTTCTACTCCATCTTATACACACCGTTGTTAAATTCGTGAATCCTCTTTTCCCCGCCCGTTCAACTAGGACCTCGGAAACTCAAACTATGTGTATCGCATTAATCTCAACTTCCCACCCGAAATACTCGTTGATCATAATCAACAACAGAGATGTAAGTATTGCCACTCTAAGCGGTGAACCACAAGCTTACCATATATAGGAATTCCTCCATCGTCCAACATCTTCGCCAGGCTGGTGGCTAAGGCCATCCTCACATGTCCTCGGCTCACGAGACCTAGCCCGACCTACACAAGGCACTTGGATGGGGGTCACCAGGCAGGGAAAGGTGGCAGTTCTTACCAACTACCGTGAGGACTCCACCAGCGCAGCCATCGGAATCTACAGCCGGGGCGCCATCGTCAACAACTGGTTGATCGGGTCCACCGACAAGCGGGATGATACCGAAGAGTTTGTGCAAAGCATCGTGGCCAACCCAGAAGTAAGACAGGTGGGGGGTTTCAGTCTGGTGTGTGGACGTATCAACGAGCCCTTGGCCATTGTCTCCAACCGTTCCACATACATGGATCAGATCACTTGGGTGGCAACGGAGAAGAACCAGACACGTGGGCTCAGCAACACAAGCTTTGATGACAGATCCTGGCCCAAGATTATTAATGGAGAGCAGTTGATGGAGGCTGCTATTAATGAGCATGTGCAAAAGGGAGACGCGGAGGACGAGGATGCATTGATTGATCGTCTGCTGCAGGTCCTCAGCACTGATCGCCTGCCACGACTGCCAGAGAAGGAGGCCACAATTGAGACATACATTCAACATCTGCACAAGACCATCTTCGTTCCGCGCATCGGTACTCCAAATGATCCTGATCAAGATGCAGAGGATATCGCTGCAGCGCAGGTACAGGATGAGATCTACACCCCGGCAAATGGGGCCCCGAACCAGAGTTTTACCTGTGGATCATACGGGACACAGAAACAAACTGTTCTCCTGGCACGACCGGATGGACGGGTGCGATATTTTGAAAGGACGCTGTATGACAATGACGCGAAGCCTGTGCCGATCGGTCAAGGTGATTATTCATTTGAATTTAACATCACAGAGTAGCTTCGTCTATGCTTGGGGACATGCTTAGACCTCATAACTCATCGGTAATCACTTAACTCATTAACTAATGGATGCAATCCGAGCCTACCATTTCACGTGACAAGCCACCTGTAGCCATCCAATCAAAGCCTGTAGGATACTTTGACAAAATAAGTAGGCGGTAGCTTTTTGCCCAAAATGGAGGTTATATTGAACTTTAAGGATATCTATTCGCCCTTCGGGGCATATGGTCAAATGAAAATATACAGAGAAGATTAGCATGGCCCCTGCACTAAGGATGACACGCTCAATCAAAGAGAAGCTACCTATTTTTTTTTCTTTTACAGATCCTTTATTAGGGCTACAGGGTGCGCGCGTTTCTACCATTCTCTCGTAGAATTACGCTTTTGGGAAGTCACGTGCCCACGTGTTGGTGTTCGAATCCCATGTAACGCGAACATTTCGAATCGTAGGGCTCCTCTTGATAGCCTCTGACTTTGTACCCTCTCGTTTCATAGGAGAGGGAAAAAAAGATAGCAGTCAAATAGAGCATTAAAGATCAATACATTGTCCCTGCCTTTTTATACATTGACTACTTTATATGTTGTTTCTACTGACATATTTGGGACCCTTTTTTGCCTGAGATACGTGCACGGAGATGAAATGGTACAATTCACTCGATTTCTATCAATTGGATCGAAGTATGAAACGTTCTCGACGATCGATCTCATCTTAACATGTACAGTTGGTTTTCGCCAAGGGTACCCCTTATATACTGCCGGCACTGCTGGTCACAAAAGAGCATAACTCCTGTAACTTTCCTGATGAATTAGAAAATAAATTGGAACATCAGGTCTAATTTATTTGCATCCAAGTCTAAACCATAAGAGATTAGAGGCGGCTGCAAAGTACGGTTGAAAAGCTAGTTATAGTACTACGTGACGACGGTTATATTAGCATCGACAGGAGTGAGCAGACAACACAACATACAACATACAACACCAACATATCTTGTCCGGGTAGTCGTGTCCGCGACTACCGAAATGTGGATAGTCTCGCTTCGATATGTGAGCTTCGCTTCTTAGCCTCTCCGCTAAGGAGCTTCCGGGCAAATTATACCGGGGATCTCAGGGTCAACCCAAATTACCACATGGTGTCTGTTTCATCTTGAGGCAGCCCTCATTTTATCCGGCGCCTTATTTTCCGCCACTACGCTCAAGGCGGGTTAGCTAATCCGGAAGTGTATCAGAACTGTCTCGTTTTAATTGCACTCTCTTTCGAGGGGGAGACGAGTCTAAGCGAAATGGAAGCCGATCCGACTTTGCGCCCTTTAGTGATCCCGCCTCCACATACTCCGTGCAATCCTATGCGGTTAGGCGTTGCCTGCCAATTCCCGACAGATTGGGTTGATTATGGATAACATCGAAATGCCTTATGGATCGCTCCTGGTCCCTTGTGCTCGAACTAGTGGCTTCTGAGAAATTATCCGGCCACTTTGGTGGAGAGACCCGCCGTTCAGAACAGACATCTCCTGCAGCCCTCAGGGTTAGCGCTTCCGGTATCACGGTCTAATTAAGCCGAAGAATGAATCCACTCTAGAATGCCTGTTAGTATCTTTGTACACAAAGCGCCATTTGACGCCCCCGAGCAGGTTATGGCTATATAACAGACGACCCCCACGAGTTTCACCCTTGCTTCGTGCAGTACATTCATTATCTTTCATTCAAGCTTCAAGACTGGTCTCTTGATTTTCATTCTTTTACTTCTATTCACATTCTTTACCGTCAAACTCGACACTCACTCTCTTTTACATTTCCCAACCTACAATGAAGTTCACTAACATTGTCCTGGCTGCCAGCGCCGCAACTGTGGCCTGCGCATACCCCCGAACAAGAGACGTTGTTCCTACCAGGCAGAGCGCTAATATCAAGAAGCGCGCCAATGGATTCACTTGGGTCGGCGTGAACGAGTCCGGTGCTGAATTTGCCTCGGGCAGCATCCCCGGTACTCTGAACACAGACTACACCTGGCCCAAGACTGATCAGATTCAGATCCTGCGAGATGCGGGCATGAACATCTTCCGTGTGCCCTTCTTGATGGAGCGCCTGGTGCCATCCAGCATGACCGGCACCGCGGATGCTACTTACCTGGCCGCTCTTAAGACTGTACGTGATGTCTGTCGTAGTTGATTCTCTTCCAGATCTAACAGTTCTATTATGTAGACTGTCCAGTTCATTACCGACAGCGGTGCCTATGCCATCATTGACCCCCACAACTACGGAAGATAGTAAGTGTATAAAACTAGAACCCACCGTGATGTATGATACTAATTGCTCATTTACAGCTCTGGCAATATCATCACCTCGACCTCTGATTTCGGCGCCTTCTGGAAGACCGTTGCTGCTGAGTTCGCCACTAACGAGAAGGTCATCTTCGATACCAGTAAGTCACCTAGAGGCACCCATACCATGGTAATAATCCACTAATATCATTTAGACAACGAGTACCACGGCCTTGATCAGACTCTCGTTCTGGACCTGAACCAGGCCGCTATTAACGCTATCCGTGCCGCTGGTGCCACCAGCCAGTACATCTTCGTTGAAGGTAACGCATGGAGCGGCGCCTATTCCTGGGTCGCCACCAACGACAACCTGAAGGCCCTTACCGACTCCGCGGACAAGATCGTCTACGAGATGCACCAGTACCTGGACAGCGACAGCTCCGGTACCTCCGAGACCTGTGTCAGCACCACCATCGGTAAGGAGCGTCTCGAGTCCGCCACCACCTGGTTGCAGGACAACAACAAGAAGGGCTTCATCGGCGAGTTCGCCGGTGGCGTCAACAGCGACTGCGAGACTGCCGTCGAGGGCATGCTCTCCTACATGTCCGACAACAGCGACGTCTGGGTCGGCGCCTCGTGGTGGTCTGCCGGTCCCTGGTGGGGATCTTACATGTACAACTTGGAGCCCAGCAATGGCCCTGCTTACGCGACTTACCTGCCCATCCTCGAGAAGTACTTCGTGGACGGCACTGCCTCAGCCGTGACCTCCTCGTCTTCCTCTTCTTCATCCACCTCCACCACCGCTGCCCAGACATCCTCTACTAAGACCGCCGCTCAGACATCCGCTACTACCACTGCGCAGACATCTACATCCACCAAGAACGCCGTTCAGACATCCACCACCACCGCTGCCCAGACGTCCAGCACCACTACCGCTGCCGCCCAGGTCCCCACCTCGGTGACCTCGTCTTCCTCGACCACCACAGCTCCCGCAGCGTCAGCTCCCACGACCACCACCACGGTTGTCGTCCCGTCCACCCTCGTCACCCTCACCTCCACCGTGACCTCGACCACCACCGCCGCCACCTCCACCACGACCGCTACGGCATATGCTCAGGTACCTACCAGCGGCTCCTCTACTGTGAACATTGCTAAGCACTATTACCAGTGCGGTGGCATCAACTGGACCGGCGCCACTGCTTGCGAGAGCGGCACCACTTGCGTCAAGCAGAACCCTTACTATTCCCAGTGTCTTTAAGGGATGATCTCGTGTGGATCAAGCCAAAAGGGGAGATTTTTTGACTGGTGGTTTGGTGTAAGCGTTTTCTTGCGGGGTTGACTGTTATTCATACTCCATGTATTTTATTACATTACTTTCTTCTCGATTTACTTCGATCTTATTATCTAAATTCAATTCTGATGTGTTGAAATACTGTGTGTGTTCTTCCTATACCTAGGTATAGAACCTGCTTTACTTGCGGTCAGTGCTAAGATCAACCTTGCATCTGATTTGATGAACTTCCCAGTGCCAATTGTTTCCTCATATTACACGCAACAGGAAACACAATTCAAAATAATAAGAACTATATTCATACCTAGGCAAATATGTCATTCTCGTCATATAGGCACAAACCGCTCAGAGTGACTCAGCCAGTGTGGAAGAGATATATACAAATTTTCAAGCCGATCTCAGTCTTAGCCGGCAAAACCCAACTAGACCAAATAACCGCAGAAAGAAAACACAAGCACCATCAACCATCCCTAGAAACGAAGAAAAGAAAAATACCATAGGGACAGATAAAAAGGCAACGAACCAACATCCCCTCAAGCATCCTCAGCCTGGTGCAAGCGCACAGTAACCAGATCAGCAGGCGCACTAGTCAAAGTAAGACCATAGCGAATCTTCTGATCGGGATAAACATTCTCAATACGATCAAAGCGCTGCAAAAGCCTCACAATAACATACCCAGCCTCAGTCAGCGCAAACTGCTGCCCAATACAGATCCGCGGCCCACCATTGAACGGGATATACTCCCACCCAGGCCGGCGGCTTACCCAGCGATCAGGCTTGAACTCGTCGGCGTCAGGGCCCCACAGGTCCTTACGGCGCTGCATAACATGCGTCGAGTAGATCACCGACTGGCCCTTGCGGATGTACACGGGGTCCTGGCCGTTCGGACCGCCGCCGCGCGGGATGGTCGTGTCGCGGACTGCGTTGCGGCGGTTGAAGGGGACGACGGGGTACAGGCGTAGCACTTCGTTCATCACGTGCTGCAGGTACTGGCAGGATTTCAGGTTGGCGAAGGTGATGTTCTGGGGGTTGGAGTAGGTGCCGAAGTTGGAGATGATGGTTTCGCGGAGTTTGGAGAAGACCTCTGGGTGGTGGGCTAGCATGAGGGTTGTCCAGCTTAGGAGGGAGGCGGTTGTGTCGCGGCCGGCAAGGAGGATGTTAAGGAGTTGGGAGCGGAGCTCGATTGGATCGCGGGTTACTTCTAGGAGGGCTTCGAGGAAGACGTAGGAGGATTTCTCGGGCGAGGCGTTCTTTTCGGCTTGGGAGGCTGCCAGGGCGTTTGAGACGACTTTGTCGACGAAGGAGTGCACTTGCTTGTCGGAGAACCTGGTTTCTTTGTTCTCGGCGAGGAAGGCAAGTTTCTCGAAGCGGCTTCGCTGCGCGCAGACCCATTGGGACTTGTCGAAGTAGCTGGCGAAGGAGTCTTCGGGTCTGTTCAGGCCGTTTAGAGCGCCGAGCTGGCTCTCGACACTTTCGCCGAATAGGAATTCTGTGGCGGAGTCGATGGTCAGGCGGAAGAAGATAGTCTGGATGTCGGTAGCGGCGGTCCATCCGTTGTCCGCGACGGACAGAGCCTGCATGGCCTTTTGCACATGCTCCTCTTCCAAGTCCAATTGACTGATCTGCTCGCGGGTGAACTGAGGTCGAAGTAGGCTACGGGATCGGCTCCATTCCTCTCCATCGGCGGTGAACTATAGACAGTCAATACGGGTTGCAGATAGGATAAATGAGGTACAGCAGGTACTCACAATACCACTTCCCAGTAGCGGATGCAAGCTAATTCGACGGACAGAACCAAGCTCGAAGTCCTTGAACTGTGTAGCCAGAACAGCCTGGATGTTCTTAGGGTCGATAGTAAAGATGTGGGTGCGACCGAGGTTGCAGATGGAGAATGTAGTGACATCGCGTTTCTCCTGATCACTAATGATCTTGACCCGCTCCTCGGACAACTGAGGTACTACTTTGGCCTTGTCTGCTACCAGGGACTGTTTCAGGTTATCGATTCCAAAAGGATCTTTAGACGGGAACATTGGCACACTGCCACAACCCAAGCTCTTAGCATGTCGTGAGTGCTGCCATGAGTTGAATACCATGCGGATGACCTGCAGCACAACGGCTGCGGCCGCAAAGCCCAAGACAAACGACAGAGCCATGGCCTTGGTTTGAAAGAAATTTTCAGAGGTGTTCCAGGCAGAAATCAAGTGGTTTTATAATAATCCCACGGCCTCGGGTCGAAGCATAAATGAGGAAAACCCTCCGGGGCAAGAATAAGACATGATCGTCACAAAGCTAAAGGTCAAGAGCCAATCGCAGTTGTGGTGGATGTCATTTTCGATCGCCACGCTGACAATTTCAGCACGATCTGGATCTCGGAGCTGCTACCTGTGTCTTTGGTCCTTGTAGTCACCGTGTTATTCTCCACTGTTACCGGAAAGGCCCTAAGGAAAATCCGCGGATTTCAGGTTCCTCTGGAGTCTGACTGTATCACCGGACGTTATGCGGTCCGGGAGAAGCGATGGAGGTCTGTGTGTCGAAATAAAATAACGGGTTTCCGTGTGACGTCGACGACGTGCACAACTCGAGATAATTTCATAACATCCCTGTAGATGATGTGCATAGCCTTAGGGTACTTTGCACTCTGTCGGAGATGGGCAAACAAATATCTGCAAGGCTGGTGGAGAACCCCTGTGGGCGCATTAGCGTTGGCTTAAGGCCGAGGTTATTCCCGAGGATGAGTGATCAATTAATTGCAATCAACGTCAACCTCCAGGCTGGATCCAGGGTTTGGATATCGGTCCTCTCTGATCATCTGGACAATTCGACTGCGAGATATATTCCAAATCAAAACTATAGGCACCCGTGATGGACACGCTATCGTCAAGATCCTACCTGGAACTGTCACAAGAACAGGAAACTCCAACAAACACCAGGTCTAGCCGGCTAAGACCCCGAACGAAAGCAGCCCAACCACCGAAGATTCCCGACCAAGCGACGGATAAAATCTCGGCTGGTCCGGATCGTCCCGTGCGGAAGAGAGGCCGGCCGCGATCACAGGCCAAAGACGCCACTGCTATTGAGGTAGATCCAATGGGCCTGCGATAGAGACACCGTTGACCAGCTCCACAGGAACGCCGTCTGCAGATCCGACGGGCACAACGCACCTATCGTCTCAAAAAGGAGACTACCATCCAGACTCTCAGATCTCGCGTCAATGCACTAGAGCAGACACTAGAGAATGTATCAAATCTCCTAGGCGGAGCCCACCACGAGGCAGTCGATCGCCTCAACGAAGAACCGACACTCCAGCCAAGCGTGGACTATCTCGCTCGCACACGAGAACTCATTCTAGCAGAAATAAACAAGACCCGACAGACATCCGAAAACGACAATGATCTCCAACTCCAGCAAACTAACGCTCCATCAAGAGACAAGGCCATATTCGGCTACGAACTATCTTATACACGTCCCCAGAAGAGCCCCGGCACCCCCTCTTCATACCCAGCATACAACCGAGCCCGCTCCCCATCCCCACTAATAAACCGCATCCTCCCAACAGCAACAATCTACACATACAGCCACCAAGAATCCAACCTCTCCCGCCGCCTGCACAGATTCAGCTTGGAGCACACTTACCGCTGGCTAACAGACCCGCGCACCGAGCCCGCGTTGCTAAGCCGCGTTTTCGGGCTCGTGCCCTGCATCCACGACATGGCCGGCATCCGCCGCCATTACCGACGCACGGTGCAATCCGAGATCGGGAGCGTGCTGGAATTCGCCAAGATGCCGTTCTACACGCTCGGCGGCGCGGGGAAGCACTTCCCGCGCAGGGACGGGGATGGGAACCCCGTCGACCCGGAGAATAGCCGGAGACCTGGGAAAATCCTGCGGCGGATGGTGCGGATTTTGCAGCGGGGCGGGATCCAGGATTGGGATGAGGATTGGAGTGGGGAGAGGGAGCCTGTTGCTGTTGCTTTGGAGGGAGGGGTGGTGCAGATGAGTGAGGAGGAGAGGATTCGCTCGTTGGATCTGGACGGGGAGTGGTTTGATTGCCATGATGTGCAGGGTTATTTAGAGCATCGGGGTGTAGTGCTTGATGGGTCGGCATTGAGGCTCAGTGTTCCGGAGAGTCTGGTTGGGGCTTTGTATGGCTTTTCGCCGGATCGGTCGACTGTTTCCAGTCTCTATGCTTCGCCTGGGATCTCTCCTGGTAATATGGAGTCAGTATCCTCGACCTCGTCGTCGTATACTCTGGACATTGAGTGTTTCTTTGACTGTGAGTTACCCGATATGTTTGCTGTGTCTTTTCAATATCACTGACACGAACCCAGTACTTCTCGCAAACCTCCGAATCCTCGGCCGCGCACCGGGTTTCCGAGTATCGGACGTCGATGCGGCATTGCGATCAGCGGTCTCCCGTCGCCCCTTTACCTAGCCAACACACGGACTAACAAGCGACCCATCCTTCCATGGATATAACGACTACACCACGAGCCATGACCAGAACGATCATCTACATATACCAAAATCAAATCGAACCGTAAATCTGAAATTGAACTCCATAACTGGCATTGTTCTGGGGTATAGCGTAGAAAGATCCAGTAGAGCGCAAAAAAAAAGGGGGGGGGGGGGGGGGGGAATAAAAAAAAAAATAAAAAAAAAAACGAAAAAAAAAAAAAAAACACCCCCCGCCCACCCCCATAGACCCACCAAACAACC